ACGAATGAAACTGGATTATTGTTTGTCCCCATGTAAAAAAATTAATTCAAAATGGATCAAAGACCTAAATATAAGACCAGAAATAATAAGTTACACAGAAAAAAAATATAGGTACCAAAGTTATGGAACTTGACTCCAAAGGCAAGGGAAGTAAAGGCAAAAATAAATGAATGGGACTGCATCAAACTAAAAACCTCTGACAACAAAGAAACTGACAGCACAAGAAACTGACAACAAAACAAAGAGTCAGCCAACCAGATGGGAGATGATACTTGTAAACAGTAGCTCTGACAAAGGTTTAATTTCCAAAATATATAAAGAACTCATAAAACTCAATACCAAACAAACAAATAACCCAATCACAAAATAGGCAGAGGACCTGAACAGACACCTCTCCCCAAGAAGACACACAAACAGTCAATAGATAGATGAAAAGATGTTCAGCTTCACTAGCAACTAGGGAAATGCAAATCAAAACTACAATAAGATACCATCTCACACCTGTTAGAATAGCTATTATCAACAAGACAAATAATAACAAGTGTGGGAGAGGTTGTGGAGAAAAGGCAACCCTCATTCACTGCTGGTGGGAATGTATACTGGTACAACCACTATGGAAAATAGTCTGGCGATTCCTCAAAAAATTAAGACCCAGCAATCCCTCTCCTGGGTATATACCCAAAAAACTAGAAAACCTGTATTTGCAAAGATATATGCACCCCAATGTTCAATGTAGCATTACTCAGAGTGGCCAAGACAGGGAACCAACCAAAGTGTCCTGCGATAGAGGACTGGATAAAGAAGATGTGGTACATAGAAACAATGGAATACTACTCAGCCATAAGAAAGGATGAAATACTGCCATTTGCATCAACATGGATGAACCTTGAGAATATTATGCTAAGTGAAATAAGTCAATCAAAAGGAGCTAAGAACAATCTTATGTTACTCACATGTGGAATATAAAACTGAAACTCGTGGACACAAACAGCAGTGTGGTGGCTGCCAGAGGGAAGGGGTGGGAGGTAAAGGGTGACAGAAGAAGATCTGACTTTGGGTGGTGGGCACACAGTGCAATATCAGATCTTGTAACACAGAAACCCACACCTGAAACCTATATGATCATATTAACTAATGTTGCCCCAATAAATTTAAATAAATAAAATTCCAAAAACCCAGATGAAAAACCACTGCTATTAATTATTTATTACCTTTGAGACAGCAATTCATAGGGAGAGGTTTCTTAATAATAGCTTTATGTTAATGCCAAGCATTATTCTAAACATAATGTGACCCAGGTGAAATAATTCTAGCAATTATTTTGCTTTTATAAAACAATTCCTGGAATAAGCAAAGATTTCTTAAACAGAAAATAAAAGTCACTGATTTGTTTTAAAAGACCCATTTACAAAGTGAAAAGGTATACCACAGAGAGGGGGAATATATTTTGGCACATATATCAACACATATACATATAACACATATAACCAGTAAAGGGCATGCATGTATCCAGAATGAATAAAATGTTTATATGTCATTTAGAAAAGATACAAATATTTTAATAAAAATAATGGTCAACAGACTTCAATAAAAATGTCACAAAAGAGGGTATCCAAGTGGCAAATAGTACATAAAAAGGTTTTCAATTTCATTAGTAATGAGCAAACAAAATCCATAGAGATATCAAAAGCATATCAGTCGGGATGGCTAAATTTTGGAAGATTGACAATATCAAGTACTGGTGAGGATGTGAAACAACTGGAACTCTCATATTCTCCTTGCTCGTAGGAAAGTAAACTAGTATGACCACTTGAAAATCTATTTGGCATAATGTGGCATATATTACTGAAGCTAAGATATGACCCAGTAATGCTAACTCCTAGCTAATATATCCAAATAATAAACAGTATTTATCTATGACAAATGACGTTTACAATAAAATTCATGGCAACTTTATAATTGATAGCCAAAAGCCAGAAACAACTCAAATGTTCATCTAATGTACAGTGGATAAAATAAAATGTTGATACATTCATATAATGACTATGGTACAGGAATAAAAAGAACAAACTATTGCTACATACAACATGGATGTATTTCACAAAATGCTGAATAAAGGAAATAAATTAAAAAAAAAACAGTAAATCCAGTATGATTCCATTTATATGAAATTCAAGAAGAGGCAAAACTAACCTATCCATAGCATTACAAATTAGAATGGTAGTTAATTCAGGGTGGATTTGGAGTCAGGGTGGGCACTGGGTATTGACTGAGAAGGGGCACAGGGAGGAGGCCTTCTGTGGTGCTACACTGTACATGTCCTACGTCTTAATCATGGTGATTATATTGGTGTAAAATTTCACTGAATTGTACACTTTAAGATTTGTGTACTTTACTATGTGGTTTAACATGCACGTGGTAAAAAAGTATTTTTTACTTAGTTCAGGTTTTTTTCTTTTAATTGATACATAGTTTACATATAACAGTATTAGTTTCATATTTAAAATTTTTTAAAATAAAAACAATGTGATACCATTTTTCATTTAGCAAACTGGCAAAAATTTAAAAATCTAATAATGTGCTCTGTTAGAAAAGGTATATACAAAAAAACCTGGTGGAAATGCAAAATTAGTACAAGTTCTATGTGAGGAAACTGGCAAGATCTGTCAAAATTTAAGTAATGTTATTAAATGTATTAATTAAAATTTAACTAAATACCTTTAATCCAGCAGTCCTGGTATTTCTCCTACACATATACATGGACTTATACAAAGATATTCAATGCAACAAGAGTGAAAGACTGAAAACAACCTTAAATGTCCATCAATAGGGACTTCCTAAATAAATTATAGTACTTCAACAGAATTCAGTACCAGGCAGCCTTTAAAAAGAAGGAGGCAGTTCTTCTATACATAGTATATACAGACAGATATAGATACAGAATGAACACTAAGATACACTGTTAGTTTTTTAGAAAGCAAACTGCAGAAATGCACAAACATGCATGCACACACATGCACACACATACATACAGAATGGTACCATTTGCTTGAAAAAATAAATATTATATATGTGTATATATACATGTATATATATGAATATATATAAAACAGCTTAAAAATAAGTCAAAAGGGCCACTGTAACCATTTAAACACTCTTTGCATTTTTATTGAAGGAAAATTTTTTCAGTATCTTTGTGGAAGAGAAATTTATCAACCATTTCAATTCTTATAGATATTTTACTACTAACCCTTATTTAAAAAACAGAACAGCCTAGCTGGTTTGGCTCAGTGAATTCTATTCCAGTCAAGGGCATGAACATCAGTTGCAGGCTTCATCCAACCCTGGTCGGGGCACATGTGGATGGTAACCAATTGATGTGTCTCTCTCACATCAATGTTTCTCTTTCTCTGTCTCTCCCTCTCCCTTCCACTCTCTCTAAAATTCAATGGAAAAATGACCTCAGGTGAGAATTCACAACAAAAAATCAGAACAAATATGCTACCATAGCCTAGTACCAACTTAATTTTTTTTCTATAAATGCAAATTTAATAATTATTCCAAGAATCAACTATTGATTGGAAACCCTTCTTTATGGCCTCCTCCTATCTTATGCAACTCAGAAGTCTGAAACTATAACTATTTGCTTAATTAAAAAGCAAACTATGGTTGTATCCAATACCATATTATTTGTTTTCTTATTACTACAAATTGCAATATGTAAATATATATTTGTTTACCTCATTTTTATTGTCTCTCTCCCCTACTAAATTATAAAATTAGACACATGTTTATGCCACCTACTGTGAGCCTCTTACCTGTCTCTTGTGTTCTTGGTTTCACTTTATTCAAGTCTTCAGTAGCCTCACCAAGATTTTCTGCAAGTATTCTAAATAAAAGATTAAGGTCTTCTTGATTTAGATTAACCTGCAAAATATGAAGTTGAAAGATAAAGATATTCCATTTTTAAATGCAACAATTTAAATACAGGACATAACAAAACTTTAAGTATAGATAAAATTATACCTTCATTACTCACTCAAGTATTTCACTACTTACTTCACGTTAAAGTTTTTATTTTGAAAGATAGGAAAGTATTTGGAGAAAAACAATTTAATTTATGAGTCAACATCAGTCCCATCTACTTAACTTATATGATCCTTAGTGAAAATTAATAATAATTAAAGTAATCTTATCATTTTAAAAAATGTGACAACTTAAGGAAACACACAAATTCCACTTTTAAAATAACAATCTGGAATAAAAGGCCACCTAAAATACGAAAAACAGGCATTTTCTTCAATGTTATAATTACCTTAGTGGTACTTAGACATCCCTAAAAGTGTATATATATATATAATATATAGAATGACATGTAATGTAATATACTAATAAATAACTTACATACAGACCTCTGCTAATGTGTACATATTACAAATTTAAAAGTTAATTATACTTAACTGAAGATTAAATCCTACTAAAAATAATCCAGATTTTGTTGGACATCATACTGAAATTTTTCTTCCATCAATCAGTAAAAAATTCCGTATTTCATTTGCATTTACACTGCGAAAGTCTTGAGAGTCTAAATTTTGGTAATAAAGATTTCTTTGAGCTCTCATACTTACATTCATTGACTCAAGATGCCCTTTAATTTCCACAACAGGCACCTTGTGGTACCAAGATGCAGCCAGGTTCCTATTTACAGAAAACTCCAAGTTAATTGGGTGCAGCAGCTGAATATCAGGATGGGAAATGCCAGGCTGGATCACGGTCCTAATGAAAAACATAATTGATATATATGCATAAACATAGGGAGGAAATGCAGCATATCATTAAAAAACACAAAGTCAAAAGTTGCTGCTCTCAATGGACACAGACACCAGGGAGGTGAGGGCATGAGTGGGGGGGAGGGGGCACGTAATGCGGAGATAAGGACACATATCTAATACCTTAATCAATAAAGAAAAAGGAAGTTGCTCTAACACTGATTTGAAATATACTGTTGGGGTGTTTTCTACACTCAGTCTATCATTAACTTAATCTACTATACACTAGCAAGGACAGATTAAAATCAGCCATTATGAAAACTTTTTTCTTTAAACAGAGGATATATGATGACAACTTTCTTTTTTAATCCTCACCCGAGGATGTTCTTACCACTGATTTTTAGAGAGAGTGAAAGGGAGAGAGATTAGTTGGGGGGGGAGGGGGAAACATCGACATAAGCGAAAGATATATCGATTGGTTGCCTCTGGCACCTGGCCAGAGATTAAATCTGCAGCCAAAGAACATGCCCATGATCAGGAATGGAACCCTCAACCCTTTGATCCATGGGCTGACATGCTAACCATTGAGCACAATCAGCCAGGGCAGGTGACAATAAATTTCAAAAAGAAATTCATATTGTTGAATATATGGGGGGGAAACCATCAAATACCATTGTTCAAAAAGTAATATGTGCATTGGTACAGATTAAAGAAAAAATGTCAAGATGAATAGTATTTACTAAGGAGTTCTTTCCCAGGATTATTTTTTGGACTTGACAGGTAAGCATTCCTTTTTTATTAAGGATAATTAAATCTCCTTGGATGGGTAGAAAATGATTTCAAAATGAATTATGTACAGACTTTCAAGTGTTCTCTAGTATAAGCCCTACCAATATATCGTTATTTACACAGTATTCCTGCCAAAAATCTCTAAGTTCAATTAAATCATGAAAAATCACCAGACAAAATTAATAGTCATTCCATGAAAACACTAAACTGTATGCTTCCGATCTGTCATCATCATAAAAAACAAAGGCTAAAAACTATTCCAGAATAAATGTCTATCAGTACACAATCCCCCATAATAGTATAGCATACAATTAAATGCCATATGTAATCCTGGATTAAGGGAAAATCCTATATAATAAAAGCGTAGTATGCAAATTGTCCCCTCAACCGGGAGGTCGTCCAGGAATTCGACCAGGGGGTGGGGCCGGCCAGGAGAAGGGAGGGAGGCCCCAGCCAGTAGCAGTGGTGGCAGCAGGCGGCCAGAGGAAGAGAGGGAGGCCGTGACCAGTGGCAGCAGCAGGTGGCGGGGGGAAGGGAGGGAGACCCTGGCCAGTGGCGGTGGCGGCAGCAGCAGGCAGCTGGGGGAAGAGAGGGAGTACCCAGCTGGCTGCTGACAGCTGCTAGGGACCCTACGAGTGCACGAATTTCGTGCACTCAGGGGGTTCCCTCAGCCCAGCCTGCATCTCCGGGAATCCACAGGGTGCAGGCCTAACCATCAGTCTGACATCCTTAGCGCTGCCACAGAGGCAGGAGAGGCTTCTGCCACCGCCACTGTGCTCGCCAGCCATGAGCCCGGCTCAGGGCTTCTGGCTGAGAGGCGCTCCCGCTGTGGGAGTGCACTTGCCACCAGGGGGCAGCTCCTGCATTGAGCATCTGCCCCCTGGTGGTCCAGTGAATATCAAAGCAACCGGTCGTTCCACCATTCGGTTGATTTGCATGTTAGCCTTTTATTATATAGGATATTCTTGGAACAACTGGTAAAATTTGAATACTGACTGCATATTAGATAACTAGAGGCCCAGTGCACAAAATTCGTGCATGGGGGGGGGGGTCCTCAGCCTGGCCCACACCCTCTTGCAGTCCGTGAGTCCTCAGGGGATGTCTGACTGACACAGATGCAGGAGAGGTTCCCACCACTGCTGCTGCACTTGCCAGCCATGAGCCTGGCTTCTGGCTGATTGGTGCTCCCCCTGTGTGAGCGCACTGACCACCAGAGAGCAGCTCCTGCATTGAGCGTCTGCCCCCTGGTGGTCAGTGTGCATCATAGCAACCGGTTGTTCCACTGTTTGGTCAATTTGCACATTAGCCTTTTATTATATAGGATAGTATTATGTCAATGTTAAACTTTTAGAGTTTATATGGAATTTGCATTATGTTTATGTAAGAGGATAAATACCCTTTTCTTAGAAAACACATGCTAATGTGTTTAAGATGTTGATTCTCTTTTTTTTTAATTGAATTTAATGGGGTGATATTGGTTAATAAAATTATATAGGTTTCAGGTATACAATTCTACTGTATCATCTGTATACAATATGCATCACCTATATAATTGTATCATATGTTTACCACCCTAAGTCAAATCTCCTTCCATCACCATTTATATCCCCCCTTTACCCTCTTCTACCTCCACCCACCCACTCCTTCTCTCTGGCAATCACCATACAAAATGTCTAAAGTCAAGTGATTTAGCAAAAAATGTTTCAACTTTCAGTTATAAAATAAGTCTTGGAGACAATGTACAGCATGGTGATTATACTTAACAGTATTATTAAGTACTGTATAATACTGTACTATATATTTTAAAGTTGCTAAGAGAGTAGATCCTTAAAGATATAATCCCAAGAAAAATTTTTTATAAATATGCATGATGATGGATGTTAACTAGAGTTACTGTGGTGATTACTTTGCTATATATGCAAGTATTGGATCATTACGTTGTACACCCAAAACTCATATACTGTAATATGTGTATTATACTCAATAAAAAAATAAAAAAATATTTTAAATGTCATAAATGATTATATTCATACAGTTAAAGCAAATGTAAACAATTGGTGAATCTAGGTGAAGGATCCAGGTACAATCATGATACTATTTTTGCAATTTCCAAAGGTTTGAGATTTTTCATAATAAAAAGTTGATTTTTAAAAACTGTTCTGCCTGGCTAATGTGGCTCAGCAGTTGAGCATCAATCTATGAACCAGGAGGTCATGGTTCGATTCCCAGTCAGGGCACATACTCAGGTTGCAGGCTCAATCCCCAGCTAGAGGCAGCCAATTAATGTTGATGTTTCTCTCTCATCGATGTGCCTCTCTCTTCCCCTATCCCTTCCTCTCTCTCTAAAATCAATAAAAACATTTTTTTAAAAAACTGTTCTGTGCCATAGGAATATGTTGGGTATGGATTTCAATGATCATAAAATTTCATGGAAAATATTAAATAATACTGAAAGAGTATACCTAGAAAGTTTAAGCTTTGTTAGCTGTACATCCATTCTATCAATTACTGGAGGGTTTAAGAAGTCTTCACCAGACACCAGACTGAACTGATTTTGAACTCTCATTAACCCAAGATCTACCACTACTGCATTGGTGGAAATGGAAGATTGTGGGATGACAATAACTGGTGCTTTCAAATCAATATTGATAGAAACACGAAAACTCCTCTGGGCAAGATCTTTCACGCTTGTGGCAGCCTTTTCTGCAGCCTGGGCAGTGGCAGCACTCAGAGCCTCTTTGGCTGTCTGGAAATTGTTCAGGAAGTTCTGTGGACACAAAATATAAAAGGATAAATTCAAACAGAAGACATGCACATCATTAATAATACCACCGTCATTTGATTTATGAGCTAATATTTTTCCAATAGATAACTTTTAGTTGAGGGCTATTTTTCAAGATTTAGAAAGGAATAACTCTTTATCCACACATATTTATTAATTACCTGAGAAGGGCTAATTGTAACTATAATTATATGGCTGAGGAACAGAGAAAAAATTATTTTCTTTTTCCTTTTGACAAAAAATATTTTCAATAGTCTTTATACTTAAGAATTTGGTTTCATTATGTTCTAGCCAAAATAATTGCACTTTTAGATGAAAATCATGAAATGATTCATATTTCAACTGTTAAAGAGAGAGTCTGACTTCAACATTAATACATAAAGAACATCTATAATCAAAACAATGCACTCCCTATAATCCGGAGTTTGAAATATTTGCAATAATTATTATCAGACAATTATTTCTAAATTGAATAGTCAATCTATAAATAATGATTTTACCAGGAATGACATGAGGAATTTATGAAGATAGACAATCTGAATGCAGCCAACATTCAGTGATACCACACCATCCACTTTGGACATGTCAGTATAGAAATCTCCCTCAGTAGCATCTGGATACAAATCCAAATTAAAACGAAAAACTTCATTTCCCATTATTGACACCACCTGGAAAGCAGAGATTTGAATGTACTCATCCAAGAGGATAACAACAAAATAAAAGCCCATTATAGAAACAATTTTCTGTTAAATTGTATTTCATTAAAATTTTAAAAAATAAAATATACTTAAAAATAACATCTCATAGTCAGTCATCAAAAAATATTAACTATTACTATCACCTACTTTTTTATGAACTGTCTTGGGTTCAACATCTGTGACAATAATATTTTCCAGTCTTGCAAATAGAGACTGTTTTCTTGACTGAAGAAGAAGAGAGGCATCGAGTCCTGAAAAAAAAATTTTATTATTAAAATTTCTGTAGATCTAATAAAGTAAGATCTTAAGATGTTTCTTATCATTGCATAATTTTATTTTGGGTGTGATATATTTATAAATTTAGCATGGTTTGCCCTAACCAGTTTGGCTCAGTGGATATTATTAGTGGATAATAATTATATTATTATTAGGCTCAGGACCCTAACCAGAAAGAAGGGTCCTCAGTTTGCCCTAACCAGTTTGGCTCACTTCACTAAGTGTGGACTGAAGGGTCCCAGGTTCGATTCTGGTCAAGGGTCAAGGACATGTACCTTGGTTGTGGGAACATCCCCAATAGGGGGTGCGCAGGAGGCAGCTGATCGATGTTTCTAACTCTCTATCTCTCTCCCTTCCTCTCTGTAAAAAATCAATAAAATATATTTTAAAAAAATTTAGCATGGTTTGAACTCCCAATTGATAAACAAGTTAAGATATTAGATATTTTTAATTTCATAAATAATGGAACCTGTTAATTCATCATAAAATAATTACTGAATTTTCAACCTTCTAAAGAAAATCTAGTACAAATAAGATTATCTTGGGATTTTAGTTAATCCTTTACACCTTATATCCAGTCATTTACATGGACACTATAAAAGTTTCATGAATTAAATTCAGACTAGTACAATGATGGAGAACCTTTTGAGCTTGGCGTGTCAGCATTTTGAAAAACCCTAACTTAACTCTGGTGCCGTGTCACATATAGAAATTTTTTTATATCTGCAACCATAGTCAAACAAAGACTTATATTTTTGATATTTATTTTATATATTTAAATGCCATTTAACAAAGAAAAATCAACCAAAAAAATGAGTTCGTGTGTCACCTCTGACACGCATGTCATAGGTTCGCCGTCACTGGACTAGTAGATGCACTTCCAGTTCAGAAAGAACAAAGACGACAACTCTAGTTTTCTAGTTTTTAAATTCTTCAAGAATTTCATTAAACATATTCTTGACCGTTAGCAGACCACATTGAGCTAATAAAGATAGAGTCATAGAAAGAAGCTAAATTACTCTTAGCAGCTTTTGCCTAAAAGAATAAAATACACAGGTTTTATTCTTCATGATAAGGCTGTTCTGCATTTTGTACCAAGATAAAGCATTTTCATAGACCTTTACCTGAATTCTGGATCGACACTTATCAGATCATTAGTAGCATCTCTACATTGACATTAGTAATGCTCACCTCCAAGACAACTCTCAGAAAGGTGCAAAATACCAAAAAGTGTGGTTCAATTTAATGGTCAGAGTCTGATAAACATCTATATCCTAAAGAGTAGGTGGCATGCTGTCCAATTATGTTCTTAATAAAAGTACCCCGTTTTCACAGTTCAGAGCCCTCCATTTGTATTTTAGCATTAAAAAAAAACCACCTTATCTTTTGAACAAACTGTAATACTATGAGAACTTTACCTTGAATCTTGATTTCAGCGATATTGTTCTTCTCTTCACAAACATTGATACAGAAAGCATTCAACTTGGCAAACAGCCTGAAGTCAATAATGTCACTATCCTTAGAGGATACAATCACTACAAAGGAAACAAAGCATTCTGTCACAGTGAAATCCTAGTAAACTAAACTCCATTAAGGTTTCTTCCCTATATTAAATGAATCACAATTCTGTTTTTAAAAAGTGAAATAAGACAGAAAAAGTTAAGAACTATATGATTTCACTCATATGTGGTATATAAAACTGAAAGCAACAAATGAACAAACAAGAAAAACAAAAACTCATAGACACAGACAACAGTATTGTGGTTACCAGAGGAAAGGTGAGGAGGGATAAGAAAGGGTAAAGAAGGTCAAATATATAGTGACGGAAAAAGATGTGACTTTGGATGGTAGACAAAACACAATATACAGATGAGGTAGCATAGACCTTACACTTGAAACCTATATACTCTTATTAACCTATGTCACCCAAAAAAATTTATAAAATTCCTAAAATTTTAAAATACTTCTTTTGTTTTATATATTCTGTAGAATTTTCATTTCTAATAATGCGATGTGCTTTTATCATTTAAAAGCAAGGAAAAAATTTAAATAAGATAAGGACATTGAAACTCAAAGAAGTTCAGTAATAGTTTAAGTAGCAGTCAGGATTTGAACTGAATTCTCTCTGACCCAAAATTTAGGCTCCTAACTAATTAACTGCTACCCCTATATCCCTGACCTCGTGTCTCTGGATCTTAATTTCCCTATTTGTAAAATGGAAGGGAAAGCTAACCCTCCATGGAGCCCCTTCAGGAGCCACTAACAGGGTATGAAAAGCTCAGTGTAAATATAAGTCGTTTTCCTTTATAACCCACCAAAAATCATCCACCACCACCACCAAAATAACAACAAAAACAGACATTTTTTAAAAACAAAAAATATTAATTATATTTGGTTTACATATAAGGTACCCATGAAAGATTTAGTTTGAAGAAAAGAACAAAAATGAAGAAAATGGCCTGTAAATGACTGCACTAGAAGGTCCCTTAAAATGCCCCATTTAGCTCTAGAATTCTAAAACCCTTACTGACAAAAAACAAACAAGCTGTTTTCATACCTTTCTGCAGAGCTGAATTTTTTTGTTGCTTTTCAGTTGAAATTTGTACTTCCTTGGCATCACCCATCTTATGGCCATCTGATGGAATAATGGTTGTCAGGTAATTAATAGAAGAGAGAAGAGCTTGTGTTTGCAGCAACAGGTTTAAAGATGAAAAAGCCACCTAGAGATGTTTAAAAGAGGAAAATTAGTTTCCCAGGCCAATTATACCAGTGGTCTCCAAGATGAAACCAAAAGGCTCCTAGCTAGGCTTGCACTGTGCCTTTCACAACTTGGAAGGAAGATTCATAACACACTCCTGAAATAGGAATATAATGAGAGTAAATTACACTTAACTTACCTCGGTGGTTCATTCGAGTATCAAAGTAACCTAATCTACTTTAGTAGCATAATTATCACAGAGTATATAATCTGCTTGTCATGGCCATCCCAATATTCAACATATATATGGGTTCTGGGATCTGCAATTGACTATTTATTATATAAACAGGTAAGTTAGAATATGAAACTTTAAAAGTCAAGAAATTACTTCAAATGTGACATTCATGAGATTTAAATTTAAAAAGTACAATTACAGCCTGGCCTACATGGTTCAGTGGTTGAGTGCTGACCTATAAAGCAGGAGGTCATGGTTAGATTCCCAGTCAGGGCACATGCCTGGTTGTGGGCTAGATCTCTAGCAGGGATATGGGCATGCAGGAGGCAGCCGATCAATGATTCTCTCTCATCATTAATGTTTCAATCTCTCTCCCCCTTTCCCATCCTCTCTGAAATCAATTTTTAAAAAATGTTCTTTAAAAGTAAAATTATAACTGAGCTCTCGGTCACTAAATGATGTTCTGAAACCAAAATGATGGTCCTATCATTTAAAAAGAAACAAAGAATATATAACATAAAGAAGAAAAATATTAGATTTTTTTGAAACAATGACCCCAGAAAGCTAAGAGGGCAATGCAAATAGCTTTCAAGAATATGTGGTTTTCTAATAGAAAATTTAAAAACTTTTTTAAATTTTTATTTATATAAAAGAATTTCTTTGCACTGCTTCAAAACAAGTGGGTATAAAAATTATAAAAATAAAGTTTAGCCATAATCAGTTTGGCTCAGTGGATAGGGCATCAGCCTGCGGACTGAAAGGTCCCAGGATCTATTCCGGTCAAGGGCATGTACCTTGGTTTCAGGCACATCCCCAGTAGGGGTTGTGCAAGAGGCAGCTGATCGATATTTCTCTCTCATCAATGTTGCTTAATCTCTATCTCTCTCCTTTCCTCTCTGTAAAAAATCAAAATATATTTTAAAAAATAATAATAAAGTTTAACAATAATCAACAGATATCATATCTCTCAAAAGTGTAATCTAAAACACATTTCTTTCATTTTCTTTATAATGTAACCCACATACATTTTGCCTGTTCTTAATTACATTAGTAATCCTCACCTCCAAGACAACTCTCAGAAAGGTGCAAAATACCAAAATACTATCTACACTAATAAAAGAGAAACATGGTAATTAGTGTCACTCCGCTACCCTTCCCATTGGCTAATCCCCCTGTCACTCACAGAGTAAGGCCGAGATATGCAAATTAACTGGCAGCCAAGATGGCGGCCAGCAGCCAGGCAGCTGATGCGAACAGGGAGGCTTGCTTGCTTCAGTGACGGAGAACTCCAACATTCCCCATCTGACTTGCCAGCCTCTCAGCTGCAACTCTCAGCAACTATGTTGCGAATAAAGAAGCTAAAAAAACCCCAGAAACCTGCTTTACTCAGCAGAGCTTCAGCCAGCCGGACCGCAACATTGTATCAAATACAGATGGTAAACAAAGGCCAGAAACCTGTTTTCAGCAGCCGAGGCCTCAGAGCTAAAGCTGGCCCAGAATAAAAAAAAAGAAAAGAAAAGAAAAAACGGAGCAGTTGGAAGCTTCAGTCCCGGCCTGAAAACAGCCCTCAGCCCCTCAGCCAGACTGGCCAGGACCCCGGTGGGGACCCCCACCCTGAAGGGTGTGTGACCAGCTGCAAACAGCCATCATCCCCTCACCCAGGCTGGCCAGGCACCCCAGTGAGAACCTCCACCCTGATCCAGGACACCCTTCAGGGCAAACCAGCCAGCCCAACCCATGCACCAGGCCTCTACCCTATATAGTAAAAGGGTAATATGCCTCCCAGCACCAGGATCAGCGGAGCCGTGATGCCTCCTGGCACCGGGATCAGCGTGATCGGGGGCAGCGCCCAAACCCCCTGATCGCCCTGCAGTTCTGTGTGTGACAGGGGGTGGGGCCACAACTCCCCGCCCCCCACGGGCCTTGCTCTGTGTGTGATGGGGTAGAGCCATAACCTCCCCATTGGCCCTGCCCTGAGTATGAGAGTGGCGGTGCCCCAACCACCTGATCGGCCCTGCTCTGTGGGTGTTAGAGGGCGGCGCCCCAACCCCCCTCCTCCCATAGGCCCTGCTCTGTGTGCGATGGGGTAGAGTCATAACCTCCCCATCTGCCCTGCCCTGAGTGTGACAGTGGCGTCGCCCCAACCCCCTGATCGGCCCTGCTCTGTGCGTGACAAGGGGTGGCGCCGCAAGCTCCCCATCGACCCTGCCTTGAGTGTGACAGGGGGCGGTGCCCCAACCCCCCAATCGGCCCTACCCTGAGTGTGACTGAAGGTGGCATCGCAACCTCCCAATCCGCCCTGCTCTGTGCATGACAGGGGAAGGCGCCCCAACTCCCCAATCGGCCCTGCTCTGAGCCCGACCAGGGGCTACACCTAGGGATTGGGCGTGCCCTCTGCCACCCGGGAGCAGGGCTAAGCCAGCAGGTCGTTATCTCCCGAGGGGTCCCAGCCTGCAAGAGGGCACAGGCCGGTCTGAGGGACCCCCCCCCCTTCCCGCGAGGGCACAAATTTTTGTGCACCGGGCCTCTAGTTTATTATATAAACAGGTAAGTTGTATAAATCTCTAGTTTATGTATACAACTATCTTAGTATGGCTCCAAGAAGTACTCAACATCTCTCCTTGTAATTCACATAACTTTCTCAGCCCTGTATTAAACAACCGTTATTTGATATATTTAAAACTGTTCGTTATAAATCAAAGTTTCCCATCTATAGCTTTCCCTTCTTTATAAATAACTAGAAGAATGGTGCATGAAATTTGTGCACGGGTAGGGTCCTTAGGCCTGGCCGGCGATCAGGGCCGATCGGGGCCTTCCAGCTGGCCGGCTGGATCCTTCCTTCCCTGGCTTCATTCTGTGCCGCTCCCTGGTGGTCAGCACACATGATAGCAAGCAATCAAACTCCCAGTCTCCCAGTCGAACTCCCAAGGGGACAATTTGTATATTAGGTTTTTATGTATAGATAGATTAGGATGTGATATAAGTCCAAACAATAGCTTTATTGCTCATGAACATAGAGCATGGTATCTATGAGTTTGGTTTATAATTTTTATTGGCTCTTGATTATTTCATCAAATTACCTAGTCAATATTCCTTCAAGGATAACAGGAGACTTCCAGAGTAGGTTATTTTCAGACAGGCTATATTCTTTTAATAGAATTTCTTACCTTAACTGTTTGTTCAGTTTTTTCAAAAGTAGTTTGAAAACTAGGTCCATTCTTATCAGCCTGAATAAAACAAACAAACAAACAAACAAGAGTTCTAAAAACCAAAGTAAGTAAATTACTTTTTTATTATCTCTAGTTTATTTATATTGTTACAATTGTATTTTATTACACTATATATTTAATATTCTTGTCATTTTAAAGTTACATCGAAATAATTTATTATAATCATGCAAATTTGTCCTCTTCAAACATACAACATTCACTTGTGGAAAATGCAGCTAGGAATCAGAATTATAAACTCTGGAGGTTGGAAGGTTTAAAGGTCATCTAGCCCATCTATCACCTAATGCTTGAATTCCTGTATAAAGTCTTTGCCAAGTCTATTTTATGATACCTCCAGTGAGAAAACCTCATTTTCTTACAAATTCAATCTTTAGAAAACTTTGCTTTCCTGAGGTCTTTACACTAAATAGAAATATATCTCATTGGTTCAACCTCTACTCCTTGGAAATATACATAGTAAATTCAAAGTTTTACCTTATGTGAGAAGGTTTACCTTATGTGAGGCAGCTTTCCTGCCTGCCTGTTCCCATAATGCTTTGTGCTCTTCTTTATTAGAGAATCACCACATTATGTTTTCATTGTTTTTTATCTATCTCCCTAATAGTCTTCATCTCTGTAACCCAAGTACCTAACAAGGATCTAACACATAAAGACATTCAATAGTGTTGAATGATTAAACAAATCAACTAATCTATAATAATAAAAGCATAGTATGCTTATTAGACCAGATGTCCTTCTGGACAACCTTCAGACGAAGCTGGGGCTGGGAGGGAAGCCTGGGTCCCCGGTGCCAGAGGAAAGCTGGTGCCAGCAGCCGGGGGAAGGAAGGCCTACTCTTGCACGAATTCCGTGCATCTAGCCTCTAGTCTTAAGTAAAGCTAAATACCATTAGTTCCTTCAGCATTCCTCATATAGTAAATTTTTGAGTCCTTAATTCTGGCAGTTCTCTACTGAACCCAATCCAATTTGACTTTATACCTCCTGATGTAGAATATTCAGACAAATGTAACCTAAATATGCAATGAATATAGGTAGGTGAATATACCCTAGAAATTAGGAGTAGGACCTACTTCAACCCAGGTTTCCATCTTTGGGGACAAGATGTTTGATGGCTTTGTAAAAATCCTAGTCTAGTCCTGTACTTAAGTGAAAAAGAAAGAAGGTATAGGAATGAATAGAGAAACAGTAGATATCCCTATGATTAAAACCTATAATACACATGCAGAGCCTGTAGTAATCTATTGTCATAGTTTTCCTTTCAGGGGATAGTTTGAAGTATACAATAAATATGTAAACATGATATGGCCCGTACCTTAATATACTCCACTTTTAAAAGATCTAATCCAGGTTTGTCAGAAGAGCTAATCAAGTGAAGTGGCTTTTTTTTGGATCCTAGATTAAAGAAAAAGAAAAAGTGTTTCAAATAAATTGCTCTTTTAAGTTTAGAATTTTCTAGATGTCTTATTCTTTTTTAAAAAAAATTAAGTTTTGCCTTAGCCGGCTTGGCTCACTGGATAGAGCATCAGCCTGCGGACTGAAGGGTCCCAGGTTCGATTCCGGCCAAGGGCACATGCCTGGGTTGCGGCTCGATCCCCCGTGGGGGGGGTGCAGGAGGCAGCCAATCAATGATTCTCTCTCATCATTGATGTTTCTGTCTCTCTCTCCTTCACTCTTCCTCTCTGAAATCAATAAAGAAATATATTTTTAAAAATTAAGTTTTAAAAGACTATCTGCCCATATTTACATGGTTATTAAATGCTAAAGTTATCGCTGGTGAAGAAATAAATTAATCCAAATCCTTACCCTACCTTTCTCATCCAACTAAGATAAAAACATGCATATTTATTTTCTTTGATTTTATACCTGTGTAAAAAAAAATTCTCTAGATATTTTAAGACCATATATGCATTTATACGGCATAGAAGGACTATAGTTGTAAGAATCAGAAAATGTGAATTCTAGTTCATCTCCTTTATCAAAAGCTATTTAACTTCAGTTTTCTCAACTATATAACAAGGAGGTTGCACTAGAAATATATGTAATATGCTGTTAAACTCTAAAATTCTTTGAACAAATATTTCATTATTATTAAATGATGTAAATAGTTTTTCTTGTTTAGACCAAGAGAAGGCTTACATAGAAAAATATTTCTTTTATTGGAATGGAAATGTTAAATTTCTTTGAATTTAAAAACAACAGGTACTACCAGATATGTCTTCTATATCCTTAAGTAAGTGTAGCAAAGAACTGCCTCAAGAAGCTGTGGAGGGAGAAGTCATTTATCCATTACTGAATCCATCTTTTTTATATATATATAGTTCTATAACTCCTGTTTCTGAGACATTTCAGAATTTTCCCTTGAAATAACGTTCCTTAAGGAAAAAATAGCCTAGCAAATTTATTATTTGTATTTGTTTCCCTTAAAATAGTAATATAAATTCCATCTTAACAGTGCTTACAGAAACTTACTAACATATAACCCTTTTTCCCGTAAGCTGAGATTTTAGTTTCAACCATTTTTGAAAAAAATAAAAAATAGGTATTTTATTTGACTAAAATATTAGGTAATTTTAATTAAAGTGGATTCACCCATTATTTCATTCCTTATATATCTCATGAGCACACAAGATGTACACTTAAATAAATAACCTATAAGCACTTCTGAAAGAATTTTACATTCCACCATTTTTATTTTTATAACATGGTGCTGCTTCCCTAATTCAATAGAAAGAACAAGGACTTCAATATTATAAACCCAGAAATAAATTTTAGGTTTGGTCATTCAAAAGATGCATGAACTTGAGTAAGTAGACTATTTAACCTTTCTTTGTTTGTAAAATAGAAATAATACTCCCATATAAAGGAAATTTATATGAACACTCCGAGGTAGTAGATCATAGTAGTTAAGAACCCAGACCCAACGGCCAGATTTCAAGGGTTCAGCCAATAACTAGGATGAATGACCTTGGATGAATTACATAAACAACTTTTGCTTTAGTTTCCTCATATGCAACCTGGCGACTGTAACACTGCCTTTCTCACAGAATTCTTATAAGAATTAAATGGGTTATTATTTGAAAAATGTTTAGAACAGTGCTAGCTATTTTTTATTATAAACATTGTTATATAAATGAAAGTATTTCAGACACAGAAAAGTGGTTTTATACTTATTATTAGCTATTGTTTCCATTTTTATGTCTATTACCTTGAATTTCATGGTAATCCAAGCTGATTTTCTTCAGGTAAGATACTGCAGTTAAATCAAATGTTCTCACTGTAGCCTCTGTTCCTAACTGAGTAACATTAAATACTAGAATTGTATCTTCTTCTTTCTGTTGTTTGGTAAATTCCAAAATCACCTAAAAGAATCAATGAAAGGTTAAGTAGTCTGAATCATACTAAAAAAAAATTTAAAAAAACAAAAGCCTTCTTTGCACATATCATCATGAGAAGCATAAAAATTTTGCTCACACTGTCTACTACCATTACTTATTTACTATGATTGGAAATTATCATCTAAATTCTATTTTGAGAATTATAACTATATCTATATGAAATTATGAAATTTTATATCCATTATTGATTTATATTTTTAAATTTAGTAATAATGGAATGTATGGATTCTTCCGTAATATGATTTTCTTAAACCTGTATCTCAAAAAAGAAATCATGTTTAGTAATATAAGAAACATTCTCACTAATATAAAAAGTAGCAGAAGGATGTTCACTATTATACTACTATTCAAATTTATTCTGGAAATTCACTATTATACTATTATTCAATTTATTTAGCAGATGAAAAATAATATATGTGGCAATTTTTAAAACATGCAAGTTCTTTGACACTCCACAAGAGATGGAGAGTCTTTGTCCCTTTACATTTGGGCAGGCTTGTTATTTGCCTTCATCATAGAGTACAGAGGAAGTAATACTATAATGACTTCCAATGTCAAAAAAGGCTATAGAACTTCCTCTGTGAATGTTCATCCTGAGGGAAGCTAGTTGCCATGCAAAAAGTTCAACTACTCTTGCCATGTGCAGGAGTCAATGAGTAGGTAGGTATTTCAGTCAGCAGTCCTAGGTGAGCTCCTAGCCAGCAGCCAGTATCAATGGCCAGCCTATCAGTGAGCCACCTCTGAGCCCCTCAGACACGTCAGGTCACTATAACATCAGTCAAATCTTACTATAAGCGTGTGAAAGACTATACACAAAAATTACTAAGCTGTACCCTTCCAGAATTCCTAAACCACAAAACTGTAAGCAAAATAAAACAGCTGTTTTGAGCTACTACAATTTGGGATAACCTATGAGGCAGCAATAATAACTGAAACACTATAAATGCTGAAAGCAAGCAAAAATCAATATTATTAGCAGTGTTAAACATAAGAAAAATCAGGAAGAATGTCACCTGAAAAACAGAATCTATAATAAAAATATTCAATACAGAACTGACATACAAAAATAAATTTGAGATGTATCGATGATTTAAATGACAGCACTGATGTCATAAAATATAAAATCATGGGTATTTTTTGCAATGGAGAATAATTTTCTATACATACACTATAACTAGGATATAAACACAAAATTCAATAAATTGCAGTACAGAAACATTTAAAACTTCAAAATGGCACACAAAAAAGTCAAATTGGGAAAAATATTTCAAACAGTACTACTATTTTTTCCTTAAAGGATTTTGATTATTTATCACTTTAGTTCATTCATTCAATAGTTAATAAAATATTTATTGGCCATCATCTACGATGTATGAAGTTGTGCCAGCCACTAAAAACATTGAAGTGACCTGGACAGACAAGGTTCTTGTCTTCATGAAGCTTACATTCTAGGGAGGGTGGAGGAAAACGAAGCTTGCTATCTTGTACTGGGGGGGTCAGACCTTTCCAATATGATGGCATTTGAGTAAATATGTTATGCAGGAAGAGTATTCCAGGCAAAGGAAACAGTAAGCACAAAGAATGTGTTTTGGTGTAAATAAGGGAGACTAAAAGACAAGTGTAAGCAATATGAGACAAGAACTTTGCTCACTACTTTAGCTCCAGTACCTAAAACAATGCCTGGTACATGATGGCACTGGATAAATACTTACTGCAGGAATGAATGAAATATAGCTGGAGTAGAGTGAAAAGAATTCCAGGAAAGCCCTTGTAGCCGACTAAGCCCTTTGTTCTGAGTGAGATGGGAAGCCAGTAGGTGAGCAGTGACATAATCTGACTTCCAGTTTAAAAGGATTACTCTGGCCCTGGTTCAGCTGGGGCGAGTAGAGAAGGCAACCGACCCATGTTTCCCTCGGACATCAATGTTTCTCTCTCTCTCTCTCCTCCCCCAACCCTCGCTGCTTCCTCCCTCTCAAATCAATAAAAAACATATCCTCAGGTGAGAATTAAAGGGGAAAAAATTTAAATAAATGTCACAGAAATTTTCTAAAGAAAAGAAAATCCTAATTAAGAGTATTGAGCTTTTTCAGAATACATCAGATATACTATAGATCACTCTTATATCAGATTTTACAACAAAAATTCATTTTTTTGGAACTGTATGTGGGGGGGGGGGCACTGGGAAAAATAGAGTACCCCATTTTATATATACTTAATGTTTGGGTCTAGTATTGGACAGTTTACAAGGATAGTGATAATAAGAATGTATTTGTTTATAGACAAAATAAATATGCATACCTCTTTAATTTCAAACTTTAGTAGAAGATTAATGAGCTCCTCATTTGGAGCCTCTGCAACTTTTTTTCGTTCTGATCCTTTCATACTTTTACCAGTCTGTATGTCTCCATCTTCAGCATCAAAATACTCATCATCAGACTCTAAGGAAGAAGACATTCATTTGACTTAAGAGAATGTCTATTGAGGGCTGCATAAAACACTCAAATTTAAATCTCTCAAAAATTCATTATTAGATATATTCTTCATATTCAGAGTAAGAATATAGTTTCAACGTTTTTCTAGATCTCACAAAGTGACTCAATCTGGCAAGTAATAAGTATAAACAAAATCAAACTGCCTATGTTTTTCAATTTGGTCTACTCATTCAACATTCAATAAAATATGTACTGGGTATCATCTATCATGCATCATCAGTCTGTACCAGTCACTAAGGACACAAGAGTGACAAGGACAGGCATGATCCTTGTCCTCATGAAGCTTATATTTTAGTTCAAAATTAAAAGAGATAAATTAGGCTAGAGCTAAATAATAGAATCGAGTAGTGATTGTGGGGGAAAAAAGGAGCTTATTTAAGTATTTTCATTCATAAAAATCCTTTCAATCAAATGAAGAAACTCGGACTTTAAAAAAAGGGACTCAAAACACACTGTTGGTTAGTAGCACAACTAGAACTAAAACCAGCAAATTACTATAATACTTTCAAAATTCTTTATTTTCTGAAAATGTTCTCTCTATATTCTTGGTTTAATAAAGAACATATTACTTTCCTTACCTGATTCCACTCCATCTAGCAACAGTGATGTACCAAGTAGGTCTTTTGTCCTATCTGAAATAACAGGAATGGAGGATACCTAGCAAATAATATAAAAAGTTTTCTTAATATACTAATCTAACAGGATTAAATATACAAAAATGAAATACTGAAAAAGTAATAGTACTAATTATTAAGACTACTACCTGCAATTATAAGGGCAGAACAATGTACAACTCTAGTAGATGAGTCTATTTATCATTGTGTGTCATTAGTTGCTATATATTACAATACTAGAGGCCTGGTGCACAAAATTTGTGCAAGGGGCTTGGCCCTCACAGCCTTGGCTTCATCTGGAAGGTCGTCCAAGGGTCATTCAGCTGTCCAGTCTTATTAGCATATTATGCTTTTATTATTATAGATATTTCATAAATTTGAAAGACGTTTTTTCTTCTACTTATGTATTTTTGCTCCCTTCATTCCCTAAAACTTATTTTCTCCCACCACTCTAAAGCAGTAGTGAAACTAAGCTACAATTGTTATTTATTCAATGTGATATGCAGTTCTGTAGAGATTCAACAATATCAAACCTCAAGTGCACCAAATAAATGAAACTGACCCTAAAAAATATTTAAAAATAAAACTGCTCACAGAATGCTAAAAAAGAACTCATCATAAATACAAATGTAAAGAGATTTAGCATTTTATTACATCCATTTACCTGTCTCTCAGGAGACTGTACAGATGATTTCTGTGGCAAGGGTATACTGTTAATCAAACATAGCACATTTTTCATCTTCTGGTCAGAAATTCTCACATGCATCAAAGGAAGCCCTCCTGATACTTTAAATCTAAAAATGCAAGTCAACAATACGGTTTTAAAGTCCAGTTTCTCTATAATAGGGAGGGGGAAAGGATTGGAGAAGAAACTACACTATAGGGTCAAAGTTACAAATAAGACGTAAAATGTCATAACAAAATTTTAGCAAACCAAATTTAACAATATTTTAAAGGAATAATCATAACCAAATGAGGTTTATCCAATAATGCAAGGCTGGTTTAACATCCATCTGATAATGAACTATTGATACACACAACATGAATGAATCTCTAATTAATTATGCTAAATGAAAGAAGCCAAACAAAAAAGTTGAAACTGTATGGCCCTATCTATACAAAACTAGACAATTCTGAAAAATCTATAGTGTCAGGAAACAGATCAATGTTGTCCAGGGAAGTTAGGAAAGGAGGAAGGAGGAAATACAAAGGGGCACAAGGACTTCAGGGGATGATGGATGTGCTCATTATTTTGACTGTGGTGATGGTTTCATAGCTTTACATGTCAAAACTTGCTGAACTGTACACTTTAAACAGATACAGTTTACTGAATGTCGATAATAATACTATTTTTAAGAAGACAGCATATATATTTCGTAATTGTCTACTTAAATTCTAAATTTAGTTCTTATTTTTCATCTCCTTAGATTGTTCTCAAGATTTTTTAGTTTCATAATCAAAAGAAGCTTTACTTTTTTAAGATTTTATTTAATCAATATTGAACCTTGGATTTGATCCATTCAAAAACAGGGATAACCAACTTACTAAAAAGTAAAGAGAGGTGACATATAAATCAAACAAATATTTTCTTAAAAATATATTTCTGCTATAAAATAATCATTTTTTCTCTTCTTCAGAAATCTAGCTTTTCTTAGTTAAAAATCCAGACACTGATACAGATATATTTCATCTTGTTGATTTTATAATCTATATCATAAATGGGTAATATACTAATTAGACCAGGTGTCATTCCGAATGTCCTTACTGACAAAGACAGGGCTGGAGGGAAGCCAGCCCGGGTCCCGGGTGCCTGTGGGTGGCCAGAGGAGGGAAGCCCGCGTCCCAAGTGCCAAAGGGAAGTCGGTGCCGGCAGCCGGGGGAAGGAAGGCCTACTCTTGCACGAATTTTCGTGCATCAGGCCTCCAGTATAAAAGAAACTCATACATTACCTGGCCATTCTAATGTCTTTTTCCACCATTGCCTTGGCCAACTCAACATGAATATCCATGGGTTGCAAAATATGCATAGTTGATGGATGCTGAAATCGACACTTTTTCCAGTTTTCCTCTTAAAAAAATTTTTTTATTAATGACTTTTTAAATTCATTAAGTATTTTTAAACATATATACATATAGTTTTAATTGATTTCAGAAAGGAAGGGGGAGGGAGAGAGAGATAGAAACACAATGATGAGAGAGAATCATTGATTGGCTGCCTGCTACACGCTTCCTACTGAGGATCGAGCCCACAACCCGGGCATGTGCCCTTGACCAGAATCAAACCTGGGACCCTTCAGTCCACAGGCCGACGCTCTATACACTGAGCCAAACCGGCCAGGGCTAAATATTTTAGATCACCAGATATTCTGTGGAAAATTATCTAACTTATTAAAAATAGTTAATAAACATATTCAATGGATGTCAACTTTTACTGCTTTTAGAATATAAGTAACTTATTTTTTTAAAATAGAGATTGATAAGACTGTGATATAAAAATAATTCAAAATATTTCTTTGGAGAATGTTTATAAAACAGCTGTCATTTTAAAGCCAATAGGAAAAGTTCAGAAATGTAGTGCCCTAATTACAAAATTAGAGATCAGATGGGTTATTGCAGTTAAGGAAAAAAAATGGTAAAATAAAGGACAGAAAAAGAGGATTCTGTGATTCCTAAGTACTATTACACTAGTTTAGCACACAATTCTAAAGCAAAAATGAGTTTTCATGACAAAAAAGTACAATAATTACTTTTTCTTGAAATAGAAAGATGCCAAAATAGACTTTCCAATTACTAACAAAATCCTACACATATCTTAACAGATGGCAATGACTAAACATCTTTTATTACTTATAATTCAAGCAATCATTATAAAGTACATACAACAGAAAAGGCAAATTAATGGTCTGTGTAGGTACTTCCCTTTAAGGGATTAATAGAATCCTAATATATAAAAACTAAGTAGAGCATTATATATTTACATTTTAATAAATCTCATTACTTACGCTAGAAGTATACATTCTATACACAAAGACTATCTTTTCCTTCAATGACCTACTACAATGTGATATACTCTAGAATATTTGGCAAATACTATTGCTTCTAGAAACTAAAGAAGTATAGACAACCAGCAATCTTTACTTAAGCAGTAGAAAATACAAAAGCTTTTGGAAAATAAATTAATTACTTTTAGGTTTTAAGACTATATCCATACTTCTCAGATATCTACAAAAGTAAAAGATGTAATATTACTAAAATAAAATCTAATATAGTAAAATATTTAAAAATAAAGGCAGCAAGAAAAAATATCATTGAGACATCCCAAAAACACTGGGACAGAGGAATTGAGCCAATAGCAATTTCTATTTTGTGTGTTGTGCTGGTTCACAGTCTTATTACAAAAAAAATAGGCAATAACTATACATAGATTAAAATGGTGCTGAGTACCATACCCTAAGATGAACAGCCAAATTTTTCATCTCTATTTGTAACTGTGAGATGGCTTTCTGTTTGGTTTGTTAAGAAACCAACAGGATATGTGTTCAAAATGTTACCGGAGTTGATTTACATGCACACATACACATATATTTACAAAAGCTACTCAACATAGTATCAAGATCCTAAAAACTGAGCAACTTATTACCTGCTCTTGCAAAGAGTAGTTGTACACTTTTTATTTCAACATCAAACTTGTCATATGCCTTATCCATTATTTCCTCCAGAGATGAATTACCATTCTTCTGCAAGCCTTGATCTTTACTGTTAAGCTAAAATGGAGGGGAAAAACTTCAATTTTTTAACAGAAAAGCACATAAATCAATATACTTCAGTTGTGTTTTCTTAAAACTAACTAAAATGAAAACATTGTCCTTATTAAATTCACATTTTGCTTAGTTTTCTGATAATTATTTGCAAATATTTTATTAGAAATGTAATATTTCAGCATATATCTCTAATATGTTTGAGTAATACATTACTCAGCACATCTGCACTAACTAGCAAGTAATTACATAGCTATCTATCTCAAATAAACTGTCTACACATACAACTCTTCCTGGCTCTCAGGAGTTATTGCCACAATGAAATAGCAGGTTTTATTCCTTCTTCTCTTCACTACATATATAGAATAACTAGTCCATTAGAATTCAGCTCCAATCTCTACTTCCTTTTCCATCTTTTAAAGAAGCTAGCATTAATTCAGGACTATATATTTTTAAACCTTCACATTTTCTCAGAGGCTTGGATTTCTACAAGGTTCAATTCCCAAACAAAACCTTAACTTCTCTTACTCTATTAAACATATATTTATGTGTATCATTTCCTATTGTTAAAATAAAAAAAATTAACAAAACTGTGAAATTAAACTCTGGAAACCTAGAAGTGCATGAAAACTACTAGTGCTTCTCTCCAAGTAGAAAAAGACAACAGTAATTCAGTCCTCAAGGTCAAATCATCTACTATCACAAACAATTTTAGGTTTTTCTTTGCTTCTTTAATAGCCATAAAATATATATAAAATAGTAATCTAAGCTGGCTTGACAAAATACTAAGAAGAAATAAGTCTAGGTTTAAGTAATTTTTGAGTGGGGGAAAGCAAACTATCACGTAGCTAGGTACTAAGCTAAGCAAAAATGGGCAGACAGAAATAACTATGTACCTACCTGAAATGTACCAAAATCTAAAATGAGAAGATTTGACTTTTTGTGGTAGAAGCCTGTGTGTGGAACTATGAGATAAGAAGGCTTCAGATTTATCTTTAAATCAAGGACTTTTCGAGTTTCAATAATATGTGTAAGTCCTAAAAAAAGAAAAAAATGAAAGGTCAGAGGGTCGAGTTGAAATGTGTAATCATATTTTAACAACAAGAATATCAGTTGGAAAGTATTATGAAGGATTTTCAATTCAGCAAGTAAAGTAGAATTGTACATGGTCAATGGGAAACCTTCAATCATATCTTCGTACAGTACAGTAAACCCAACATAGCTAGTGCTTTTTGGAGAGAGAGAATAATTCATTATTTCTTTAATTAAGTAAGCAGATAAAGTAGTAAGCTTCAGTTCAGAGATAATGTTGTACAAAAGTATGTATCTTCTGTATCACAGTTTTTTTAAGAACTGATCCAGAGGGATGTCTTCTACCTCAAGCTCAGGTTCTTAAAGGTAATAGCACACAGAATCTGTACCCAGTATTATTCTCTTTCTCACCTAGTTTAGCTGTTATATTTGACTCTGGGTAAACCAGGTACAATGCTACTCCACTGTAGAATATAGCCTAAATTTAAGACAAAGAAAAAAAGCAACCTATACTATTTTCAATATAATATTAACATTAGAATACACAAAACTTTGAATGTTTGATGCTTATACAGACAGGCAAATTCTTTACCTGTAGCTGTTCTCTCTTTAATTTCTTCCAGCTTCATCAATGTAGCTGATGTTATTTGCTCAAGATCTAATCCCTTATTTGATTGAAAGAATTCAACCACTGCATTAATGGTTTTCTGTAAAACAATTTAAAACACAAAGAAATTACACACAATACTTTCCACATTATAAATTTTTAAGTTTTGGTTTAATTCTAAATAACTGGGCTTTAAACTGAGGAGGTACCTCCAAAGATAGTTTTCCCTCTAGAGTGAAAGAGAACCTAAAAATAGGAATAGCCCAAGTAAGCTTACTGAAGAGGCAACAAATGTGTGCATATCATTAAAGTAACCTTAAATATGTTTTATAGTGTCTCTAGTTTCAGCCTCCAATTAGCCAGAAGGTAAAACTCCACTTCTTTATATTGAAAATGAATTCCCCTACACTTTGAAGAGGAAAGAAGGAAGCTGTTGAGCCCTTACTTACATCCAAAACTTGAATGTAAAAAATCAGACATTTTGCAAAACAGAATGAGTTCTGGAGGCTGGATGTACAACAATGTGAATGTACCCATGATGTGAATCCACTTCTAAACTATAAAGTAAAAATAAGTCAGGGATCTAAACAACAGGATGGAGCCAACCTGAAGTGACGCAATGAGTAGTGAACCATACACATCCCGTTGGCTACCTTGAGATAAGCTATGAGAATCTAAATAAAAGATGAAGATATTAATACAGAACTTGATCCAGCACTTTCGATAGTATCTAAATGTGAATTTTTTTTTCCCATGTGAACATAGTAAATTCTTTCAATTATTTCTAAAGCTCTTTAAGTTGGTTCCAAACACTGAGGGGAATGAAGAATAAGCAAGGATAAACTGGAGTAGTAAGCATGTAACGACTGGGAGTAGTTGGTACAATGAACACAGCCTTTATAAATAGTGGATTTGGTTTTTTTTAAATTGATATAAGCATAAATATACCTTACGGTAGAAAAAAATCTATAGCACATAAAAAAAATTCAAAATTAACTGAAAAACATGTACTGCTTTTAGAATAAGAGTGCTAAGTAAATGTTAAATATGAAAGAGAGAAAATAAGAAAACCATATGTTAAACATGTAAGATAGAAGATTCACTTTCTCTTTGTACTTACTGCATCATAGATGACCTCCACAGGCTGAGACTGAAGAACGAGGGTCTGGTCAGCAGTACTATTCTCGGGATTGGTTTCAAATTCAATTTTAAGCAAAGATGATGCAGTATCACCAATTGAAGCCACAAGTGATGGAACAGTATCCTGCTGTTTCAGACCTGTTATATACCAGTGTTCTAATTTTGCTTCCACCCTACAATCCAATGAAGAAAAATTAAGTGATATAAACACAATTATTTGTAATATAATGATTTAAAACACAAATTTCCCTTTAAAACAACTCCAGTGAGAGCCATGACCCCGAACCATCACTCAGAGTTGAAATCCAAACTTCTCAACCTAGCATTCAATAACCCTCACAGCCTAACGTAGGCTTTTTTCTTTCTTTATTTTCCTTGTCATCCACATAAAAAAAAACACACACAAAAAAAAAACCTTTAACCAACTCCAGAACACTGCAGAAGTTCCCATAATTGCAGCATGAATACAAGCGATGCTCAATACTCATGGGACTCATATCCCTACTGCATGCCACCCTGAACACTCTCCTACCTCATCCCTGCTTCTAGTCATTTCCATTCAACTAGGCCCAGTTCTCCTAGGCCAAGTTTCTCTTCTACAACTGAACTTGTATAGCATTAACAATAAGGTATTAATTTTACAGTACCTTCTCACTTATGAGCTCTCTAATATGCTAAACAGAACTTTTTGAATATCCTCTCTTATCAACTACAGCATAAAGTTCTTGAAAATAGAAACTTATTGTTCCTATAGCCTTCATAATATCAATCTATAAACAGTATCCAATAAATATTTATAAAGGAAAGAGTAGAGCAAGTAATGAGCTTGTCATATAACTCCATAACACAAAACAAACTCAAATATAAAATGACTATCATGACACAAACACACCCACAAAATAAAATTAGAGAAGGATGACTATTAATCAGTTTTTAATGGTAAATAACACTACATCTTTGGGGCCTAAAGTCAAACAAAATAAAAGTAAAATAAAAATTTAAATAATTTTTTTAAAACTTACTTAAGTGCTTGTGCTCCTGGTCGCTGAGATACTTTGGTGCCCAGACCAATTATCTGAATTTTTAGTATTTCTGGAATATTTTTGTTTTCTCTTATTGTAATAGACGTGCTTACTAATTTCAGTGTCATTATATGAGCAACATACTAAACAAAAGAATGAATGAAAATTGTTAAAGATTAAATAATTATTACTTTACTTAATAATTTACTCATTTAAATTTGTTGAGTTACAGTGATCTACAAAACATTATGGTAGGTTTCTGTATCAATACACTCACTATAAAAATACATATATATTGGAAAATTCAATACAAATTGCTTGCTCAAATAGGACACTTACAAAATCCAAAACTAATTTCTCTTAAAGGTAATAAAAAACAAACGATAAAACATTTTGTGGCATAAGAATTTAATTTAGCAGCTTTCACTAAAGCAAACTAATTCAGATTAATCCTTGAGCTCAAAAACTAGACAAAACATAAAGAACATTTGTTTGATGCCTTTGGAGAGTTAATCACACACTGAGAAAAAAAAAATCCTGACCCAAAAATTGATAAGTCAGGATTAGAGGTAGAACAAAGAACCAGGCAGATGATTCTCATCAAACTACACAGGATGATAGCAAGAGAGGAAGCAAAGAACAAAGTATTTACAAAATAGTCAGAAAATAATTAACAAAATGGCAATAGTAAGTCCTTACCTATTAATAATTACTTTAAATGTAAATGGATTAAATTATCTAATCAAAACACACAGAAAGTCAGAATAAATTTAAAAAATAAGATCCAACAATATGTTGCCTATAAGAGACTCATTTTAGCTTTAAGGCCAAACATAGACTAAGAGTGAAAAGGTGAAAAATATATTTCAAACAAACAGTAACAAAACAAAAATAGGGGTAGCTATACTTATATCAGAAAAAAATAGACTTTAAGTTAAAAATGGTACAAAGAGATAAAGTTGTTATGTAATGATAAAGGAGTCTACGCATCAAGAAAATATAACAATTGTAAATACTTATGCATCCATGAGCATCTATGTATATACTAACAGAACTAAACCATCCACAAGAATAAACTCAGAATGGATTAAAGGCTTAATGTAAGACTCAAATCCATAAAAATCCTGGATGAAAACATAGAAGCAAGACATTAAAATCTCAGGCATTTCTCATAGTAATATTTTTTCTGATATCTCTCCTTGGGTAAGGGAAACAAAAGAAAAATAATGTAAATTCATCAAACTAAAAAGGTTTTGCACAACAAAGGAAACCATCAACAAAATGAAAAGACAACTCACTGAATGGGAGAACATATTCACCAATGATACATCTGAAAGGGGTTAAGATCCAAAATTTATAAAAAACTTATAAAACTCAACACCAATAAAACAAACAGTCCAATTTAAATATGGGCAAAGATCTGAATAGACACTTCTCCAAAGAGGACAAACAAATGGCCAATAGGCATATGAAAAGATGCTCAAAGTCACTAATCATCAAATTAAAACCACAATGAGATACCACCTACCACCAGTCAGAATGACTATCATCTATAAACCAACAAACAAGAAGGGTTGGTGAGGATGTGGAGAAAAGGGAACCCTTGTGCACTATTGGGACTACAGATTGATGCAGCCACTGTGGAAAACAGTATGGAGCTTCCTCAAAAAATTAAAAATGGAATTGCCTTATAATGCAGCAACTCCATTTCTGGGTATATAGCCAAAGAAACCCAAAACACTGATTCAAGAGAATATATGCACCCCTATATTCATTGCAGCATTATTCATAATAGCCAAGATTTGGAAGCAGCCCAAATCAGTAAATGAGTGGATAAAAATGCTGTGGTATATTTACACAATCCTATCTAATAATAGACAAACATGGTAATTGACCGTATCTTCGCTACGCCTCCCACTGCCTAATCAGCACGATATGCAAATTAACCACCAACAAAGATGGCAGCTAATTTGCATATACTGGCTGGGAGCAAAGACTGAAGACACTGTAGAAGCCAAGCAACGGAGCCAAGGTAGCGGAGACGTGCGGGAGAGAAGTGGCAGAGACGGGCGGGAGAGGAGCGGCAGAGAAGGCCGGGGTAGGAGCGGCAGAGGCCGGGGTAGGAGCGGCAGAGGCCGGGGTAGGAGCGGCAGAGGTCGGGGTAGGAGCGGCAGAGACGGGAGCGAAGCCCTATTCTTGCAGGAATCCTCCTGCAACGGGCCTCTAGTAGAATATATAAAAAAAGATGGAAATCTTATCTTTTGCGACAGCATGGATGGACCAAGAGACTATTATGCTAAGTGAAATAAGCCAGTCAGAAAAAGAAAAATACTATAAGATTTCATTTATATGTGAAATCTAATAAACAAAATAAGCTAACAAACAAAATAGAAACAGATTCATATATACAGAGAAGGGCACATACCTTTGTTGCAGGTTCAATCCCCCCGCCCCCCCCGCCACACCTGGTTGGGGCATGTGTGGAAGGCAATCAATCTCTCTCTCTCTTTCTCTCTCTCTCTCTCTCCTACTTTCCTTCCACTCTCTCTAAAAATCAATGGAAAAAATATCCTCAGGGGAGGATTAAAAAAAATTAAGAAGAAAACTCATAGAGAAAAGATAGTATCTTTAATAAATGGTTCTAGAAAAACTGGATATTAAACTGGACCTCATCTTATACCACTCACAAAAATTAATTTGATAATATAAGATAATACAGTAAAATGAAACAAGCCACCTCTTAGGCCATCTAAATTATTACCTGTTTGGGTAAAGTTAGGTTGTGGGTGCTCTCACTATAACCAATAGCTGTGAAGAACTTATCTTTTTCCTCTGGAGTCATAAGGTCATCAATAGCTACAAAGAAAAGACAATATTTTAAAATCAATTGCTTCAGTTTTACAGGTACAATAAAAAAAAAATCAAACCAAACTAATAAATGCCCTAAAAGCAATAAAAACAAATGCTAAAGCAAAAGCAGCCAGGTGATTTCCTCTAATATACTAAAATATCTGCCTTTGCTCTTTTAGATCAAGAAAAAGCAGAGAGACCATTAAGGAAATTAAGGTCTCCTATATAAATTTTTAATTCCCTAAGTATTTTAAAAACTAAGAGAAACTTCTAATTAAAAATCCATGTAAAAAGTAACAATTAGGAATGTTAAATGTAGTGATTTCTGAATTTCAACTTTTTAAAATTCACACAAATAATTTTTCTCCAAAAAAAAAAAATCAAAGTTTTGCTTTCATTTGAAACACAGAAATGTGCCAGCCTGATGTATCTGCTTATATGTTTGCCACATTGAGCTACTTTTATTTGATGTACGCTGAACACAGGGGGTGGCGCGGAATGAAGGAAGGCCCTGGCTGGCAGCCAGCAGCCAGCAGTGGGGGAAGGAAAGCCCTGGGCAGCAGCTGGAAGGCCCCGATTAGCCCTGATTACCAGCCAGGCCTAGGGACCCTATCCATGCATGAATTCCATGCATCAGGCCTCTAGTTATGAAATAAAATCCAACCAACTGGCTAAAATATAATGTATATAGTTTGTCTTATCAGCATACAATACATTACTTGACTTGGAACTTACTTTCAGGAATCAAAGATTCTTCATCTTTTTTCTTACTTTCCTTCTTACCCCAAAACCCACTAAACCAGCCTCCACGTTTCTCGCCTGCATCAGTAGACTTGTTCTTTAATTTCTGCCCGGACCGAATCACCTAAAAAATCAAAATTTAAAAAATTCATTAAAGAGTAAATGTCCTCTTCATTTTCAGGTATAGTCGGGTAAAAACAAAGCTGAACTTTTTTAAACACTACATTAGGTTAACTATATATAGTCAAGAAAGACAGTTCCTTCTGAAATGATGTTCAACATGTGATTAATGCAGTCTATTAATTTACTTTCCACACCTACCAATAGCATTTTGCTGCATTTTGTTAAGAATTATAGTCAAGGATTCCAGTGATATGTCTCTCAAATTTTTAAGTTAAGGAGCCACTAGGACAGCATATTTCTGAGCAATATATCTTCCAAATGTTTAAGTTAAGGAGCCACTGGGACTGAAAGGAAAATGCTTCCACATTCAAAAGTCTGGCTACAGCATGAGTAAATGCAGTCTATGAAAGCCAGAGTATACAGAGGAAAATCCTAGAGGGAGAAGAGCCAGAGAAGGGGATATCTGGGTAGAAGTCTGCACAAACCTCAGTCTAACCTAAGCTTCCCACGTATGAAACTGACCTCAATGAAAGTAACAAAGGTTCAGAGACCTGAACTGAGATATAAACCATCTGCACAACTCTCAAACTCCTATACTGTTCATGTGCAAAATAGACCCAAACCAAGATACAAAAATTGAAACAAATAGATTGAGATTTGAACCACTATCCACAGAAGGCATGTGCTAAGATAAAAATGTCCAACAGTTTCTGGAGGATAACAGGACACAGAGACTACACAATTTAATATTCACAGTGTCCATAAATATAATCAAAATCACTTGATATATGAAAACAAAACAAAAACCTAGGAAAATATGACCAATTATCAAGGAAAAGGATAATGCCAATAACCAAATAACCTAGATGTTGAAACTAATGTTGCATTAGATAAAGGAAAATACTCTTAAAGTTACTAAAATGTAAGAATTTTTGGCAGAAAAATAAAATTTTTAAGGAACTCAATAGGAATTGTAGACCTGAAAATGGAAATGATAAAGGAAAGAGTAAACTTGAAGACACAGCAGTAGAAATTTTCCAATCTGAAGAACAGAAAGAAAAAACATTAGTGGGGGAAAAAATGAATAAAGCCTCAGGAACTTGCAATATATCAAAACATCATAGATATGTATATATGGACCTACATATGTACATATACATACATATTTATTTATGTGTGTTCATAAAATCATTGTAAGAAATAATAGCTGAAACATCTCATATTTGGGAAACCTAATGGTCAATTCTCAGTCTTCAGGTCAGTTGACCAATCAGATGCACTTGTCACAGTTGATCCCGCCCTCTTCCTTGCAATTCTTTCTTCACTTGGTTTTGAGGATATTATATTCAGAGAACTTTCCACCTATATCTCTGGCAGCTTCTCCATGGTGACCTTTACTGGTTCCCATCTCTCTGACCTATAAACAATAGAATGCTACAGGTCTTTAGAGTCCACCAATTTTCTAGCTACTCTAACTTACTAGTAGGTAATTTCATCCAATGTCATAGCTTTAAATGCCATCTGTGCTGACCCCTGCTAAATTCCTGTCTCCAACACAGACTTCTAAACTCTACATTCACGTATCCAATTGACTACTCCATACATCCACATTAATGTCTGAATGACAGCTAAGCTTTATAGGTCCAAAACTGAACTACTCATCTCCTATCTCACCCAAGCTTGTTCCAGCTAGTCTTCCCCATCTCATTTCATAGTAACTCCAACTTCCCAACTGCTCCAAGACAAAATTCTTAGTCATCTCTGATTTTTCTCTCTTAAAATCTGAACTTAGTCCTTTGGGAAATAATGGCTCTCTCTTAAAACATATGCAGAATATTTTTAATTTTTTTTATTGATTTCAGAGAGGAAGGAAGAGGGAGAGATAGAAACATCAATGCTGAAAGAGGATCATTGATCAGCTGCCTCTTGCATGCCCCCTACTGGGGATCGAGCCTGCAACCTGGGCATGTGACCTGACTGAGAATCCAACCTCCAATGGGGGGACCTTCTGGTTCATAGGTTCATACTCAACCACTGAGCCCCACGGGCTGGGCGAAACATATCCAGAATTTGACACTGAGGCATCACTCCATCGTAACCATTCTCAGCCACACTACCATTATTTCTCAAATATTTCAAGAGTATCCTAACTAATCTCTGTTTTCAGTTTTGCCCTCCTTTTTACAGTGTGTTTTCAAATTAGCAGCCAGAGGAAGTTTTAAAACCTAAGTCAGATTATATTATTCTATTCATGAAATGGCTCCCTAATTCAGAGTAAAAACCAAAATCCACAAAAATTTACAATGAATTGCTTTTAAGACCCTACAGCAAGCATGTCAAACACAACAGCTAACACAGGCCAAATAAACAAGGTTTAAGTTTATGTGGGCTGCAAAAAAATAAAAGCTTCAATTTTCAAAGAAACATAGGTTTATTTCGATAGAGACATGCTGAAACTAAGGGCTGAAATAAATGAGTAATCGTAAACATAAAATAACAGAACATTTTAATAAAAAATAATATTTTCTTGAACATTAACTTACCAGACACTGAACAACTGCACAAACTAATAAGCATAACAAAAATAAACCTATGTTTCTTGTTCTCCAAAAGCTAAGTATTTCCTGTTGCGCACACCAAACAAGTCAGTACAAGACTAATGACATGGCAATAGGCTGCTAAAATATTCGCTGCTAGTATTAGTGGAGAGAAAAGGTGCACCTGTGCATAAGGGGAATGAATGCAACACGATTATAGTAATCGGTCATTAGCGAACGTTGTAGTTTGTTATTAATAATCATGTTTAACAGGATATTGTAAAAATTAAGCTACGAAGTTTCATCAAAACATTTTTTACATATCGTTATATTGGCTGGGCCACAAAAATATTCGTTGTGGGCCGAATTTGACATGCTTGCCCTACAGAATCTAGCTTCCTCCATAACTCCAACAATCATCACTCCAACTCCTCCACTACCTTCCTTCGTTAACCACCATTTCTCCTGGCTCTCACCACTCTATTCCCCTTAATGAGCTAGTTATGTTCCCACCCCAAAAACCTTTCAACTTGCTATATTCCTTCTGATTGGTACACTTTCCCTCAGGTATCTTTCTGGTTGACTTTGCTCAAATGTATCCTTCTTAGTGAGACTTTCCCTGACCATCTTATTTAAAACTGCAACCCCATTATGGTCTCTGCCTAGCCTTAGCACCCTTTATATTAATTTCTACATTATTTTTATTTACTTTTTTGTTTATTATCATTCTTCCTATTATAATGTAAGGGATTTTTGTCTGTTTTGCTCACTTCTGAATCCTAATGCAAATGATAATGATGATGATAAAGAAAAAAGTCACTTATTTAGTAATTGTTATATATCAGGCACCTAACAGTCTAAGTCACTGGTTCTCAACCTTCTGGCCCTTTAAATACAGTTCCTCATGTTGTGACCCAACCATAAAATTATTTTCGTTGCTACTGTAATAACTGTAATGTTGCTACTGTTATGAATTGTAATGTAAATATCTGATATGCAGGATAGTCTTAGGCGACCCCTGTGAAAGGGTCGTTCGACCACCAAAGGGGTCGCGACCCACAGGTTGAGAACCGCTGGAAGTGGTTTACATCAATTATTATGCACTACTCACAGTAACTCTATGATGTAGGCACTATGCATTAGTCCAATTACAAATGAGGAAACTGAGACACAGAGAGGTTACGTAGCCAGCCCAAGGTTACACAAGTATTAGTTGGCAAAGCTGGGATTAAAATCCAAACCATCTGACTCCCAGGTCCACACTCTTTAACCATATTCCTACTATAGAGATTTCCAAATGGTGTGATGCAAGAATTTCTAAAACACACAAAACCTGTCTAATGGTCAGGAATACTGACCTCTTTACTCTTAGATTGCAAAAAAAAAAAAAAAAAGGCAACAGACAACACAAGAATATCCATCCAGTGTGATTAAGTCAAAATTGTCAGATTTGCAAAAAATACATTTTTGATATGCCACAGAATTTTAGTTATTACTTTATGTGTGCCATAAGATAAAAAAAAATTGAAAATCACTATGCTAACGTGATGGGCACTCAATGAGTATTTGCTAAGTAAATGAATGCACAAGTATATATGCTTCAAACCCATTCTAAAACAGAAGCATGTGTATGAAGTTTTATTAATGTAAAAAACTAAAACAATATACAGAAATGCATTAACAATAGTTATCTTTGGTGTGTGACATAATGGGTGGTTTCTATTTTCTTTTTTTTGTAGATCAATATTTTCTAACTTTTCTATAATAAGTTGTATTGTACTTGTAATTCATTTTTTAAATACCAAAAAAAGTCATGTTACAGAATAATAGAAAAAACACATAATAATGCAGACAAGGTACCAACTGAAATAAATCAGCATTTATAAAATACTTATGAACAGACTGATTCCAATTTGGGGGGAAAAAAAGAAGAGAAGAAGAGATAGAGGAAGAGGGAAAGAAGGAGGGAGAGAAGGGAAGAAAAAATGTCAGTGAAGTAAAGGAGGAAGGAATGGAGGGAAGGGAAAACAAAGCAAAGATAAAGTGAAAGAAATAGCTAAGAAGCATAAATAGGTAGGTACGCATGCATAGGGGAAAGACCTAAGAGTCTGTATGTCAAAAATGTTAACAGTTAGCATTCAGTGTTGCTAGAATAATGGATGACTCTTTTTTACTTTCTATTGGGGTGGGGGGGGGGAGGGAAGGGAAGAGGGAGTTCAAAATTTCTGTCATAAATTTTTTTTTAATTTCCCCTTAATGTCACCTTCCCCTTCCCCCCAATATTTTAATTTTTTCCTGAGACAAAATTAATCTGTGAAAATTCAATCTTTATTCTCAATTAAGCAAATCTCAATAACATCCTATGAAGCTTAGCTTTTTTGATCCTAGGTTTAAAGGAGTAGTTGTAACATGTTTAAAACATAAAATCAGCTAATAAAAATAATTACCTCAACTTGTGCTTGTTGCCTTGCTAAAATTATGTTAAAAACATCTAGAGTCTTCTCCAAATCCTGTAAAATAAAGACAAGCAAAATGATCATTAGATAGAATATTTTTTTCTTCAATGATATCCAGGCTTACTTATTAGTCCATGAACAAACACTATTTGTGATCGAATGAAAGTTTAAGTATAAATTTGAATATGCACTTGGCTTTTACATTTTTAACTTTTGCAATATAAGAAATAAGTTTTCCAAGGAAGTAAATCCTCAATAAATATAAAAATAAGAATTTTAATGAGACCATTACAATACACAGATAGCCATATATGCAATGGAAACAAGAATATCTAGAAGGGGTATTATCCTATAGTTCTTACTTCTGACTCCCTCTATTCTATATTATTTTACAATCATTGTACTAAAGGCACCATTATAAAACACAAAATTTTTAAATGTAAAATTCTGCAAATCACAAGTAATCTAAAGTAGAAAGTGATTTGGGGAATTTACATAGAAGTATGTAAGAAAGCTCCAGTCATTGTGTTCAGTTGGCTGGAGCATTGTCCCGTTCACCAAAAAGGTTACAGGTTCAGTTTCTGGTCAGGGTACATACCCTTGTGATCTCGGTCAGGGCGCATACAGGAGGCAAGGGATCAACATCTCTCCCTCATATCAATGTTTCTCTCTCTCTCTCTCTCTCTCTCCCTTCCATCGCTCTCTCTCTCTCTCTCACTCCCCCTCTCTCTCTTTCTCTCTCTCTCCCCCCCCCTCCCCCTTCCCCTCTCTCTAAAATCAATAAAAACATATCCTCAGGTTCATTAGATTCCACATACAAGCGAGATCATACAGTATTTTTCTGTGAGTAAAGATTAAGAGGAACAAAGAATACATTCCTCCTGACAGACCTCCTATTCAGTGTGTTGTGCATAAATAAGATTGTGTGGCTAATAAACTTGCTTCAGTTCCTCGAGAACTGGGGTCCTCCTGATCCCGCTTACCTGTCTTTCTTTCTTTTCTCAATTCCCACCTCCCTGCCTCAGCCCAGCTCAACCTTGTCAGGCTGGCCCTGACACATCCATGCTGTCCTAACAGGTAAGAGTTTCATCCTTTTTACAGCCATGGAGTATTTTAAACAAAACCTAGTAATAGAACCAGAGTCTGAGATGTCAGAGGGAAGGTGGGTGGGGTGTACAGGATGAAAGAAGGTGTAGAGAATAGCCAAAGAACATATATGCATAGCCCATGGACATAGAGAACAATGTGGTAAGGGCCAGAGAGAAAGGAGGGCACGGTCTGGATAGAGGGGGGCAAAGGAGAGAAAAATGGGGGACATCTATAATAAAGATAACAATAACAATAAAATATTATTTATTTATTTATTTATAATCCTCACACAAAGATATTTTATTAATTGATTTCTAGAGAGTGGAAGGGAGAGAGGAGGGGGAGAGAGAAACACTGACATAAGAGAGACACATTGATTGATTGGCCTCTCGCACGCACCGCTGCCAGAGCTGGGGAACCTACAACCAAGATATGTGCCCTTGATGGGAATCAAATCTGCAACCCTTTGATATGCAGGACAACATTCTAACCACTGAGCCAAACCAGTCAGGGCAAAAATAGAATATACTTGTAAAAATATATCCTCGGGTGAGAATTTTTTAAAAAAGTAATCCTAGTAACCTGGGTGCCGGGTGCTCTAAGTGTTATCTTATGCACATCTCACAACTCTATAAGACAGACAGTTTCCATTTTGTACAAGAGAAGATGGTACCTGAAATGTTTAGCAAATTGATACTTTTTCTAATATATAATACCGGTGATTGTCATATGTTTCATAATAACAGGAATTCCATTCTTTTTTTAATATATTTTTATTGATTTCAGAAAGGAAGGGAGAGGGAGAGAGAGAGAGAAACATCAACGATGAGAGAGAACCATTGATCAGCTGCCTTCTGCATGCCCCACACTGGGGATCGAGGCCACAACCTGAGCATGTGCCCTGACTGGGAATTGAACAGTGACCTCCTGGTTCATAGGTTGATGCTCAACGACTGAGCCACACTGGCCAGGCAGAATTCAGTTCTTTACATTATGAATTTGTGACAGAAAGTTATGTAATCAAAGTCAGATGCTATTAAGCCACTTATATATTCAGTATGGTGTTTTTCTTTGTTTCAAAAGGGGGTAAGACTCCTCCTATCTTGAGAATAAAGCTGTTTTTTATAAATAATAATTGGAACTATTTTTAAAAAGCCACTAACAAACCTAATATATACACCTAGCTAATAATAAACAGATCTAACATTGATTTTCTATACATTATTACAAATACCAAACATATTTCTACAAATCATTTACAGTAACCTCATTTTATCTAATATGAGGATGGATGAGAAGGATTTTCAAAGAAGATAAAAATTGGGGGAAAATACTTTGCATTTTCCCATAAAATTCTCTCAAAAGAGATTAACACTATTCTTTCTAAATCATATTTTAATACAAATTAAATTTAGAAAAATTAACATTAACAGATGACTTAACAAATAATACCTTTCATCAACATATGCAAGATATACCTGAATTTGTTTCTGTATTTCTTCTGGGACTTTAGTCTGGGTCAGTTTGGTTTTGTAGGCACATTTATAACTCTTGAGCAATTGCCTGTGATTTTTTATGTTACTCCATGACCACATATGTGTACACCTTCTTATATGAACTTCAAGAATTGAATCAATTGCATATTTCCACCTGCAAATCAAAAATTTTTAATGCACATCTGAATATAGAGGTTTAAGAAAAAGCAGGAAAATAGCTTTGACTTTAGACCTAACCTGTTACACTTTTTGTTATTAACTCTTTTCTTGTAAGAGCTCAATAATAAGAGTTCAATTTCCCAGTATAATTTTCTGACTTAAATAGATTATGAAATGAACAAAGCACTCCAGGAAGAGGGTTTATCAAAGCAAAATCACAAAGACACAAAATGATTTGCTATGCAAAATTAATAGCATCCAATACGGTTAAAACATTGAGTCCATGTGGATGACTAAAGTGCAATAAGACCAAAATATGTTGAAAGTCTTGAATACCAAATTAAGAATTTGGAAATAATCTGGGAGCAGAAGTACAACAGAATGTATTTATGAAAAAAAGTAACAAGGACATAATATAAAAGATAACACTCTGTGTCTCTAAAAAGAAAAAGTAGCTTCATTACGTGGCTTTAAACATGTCTTAACCCTGAGAATCCCTAACTATATGACTGTATGTTTCTTATTTTTTAAAAAATAATTCTAACTTACCATTGTCGACCATTGGTATGAAGTGGTACATAAGGTTTATATTTCCTGTAAGGGGCATTTCTAACCATGTAATCCACTGACTCCAAAAGGTCAATCATACTTAAGTACTATTAAGACAAAAACAAACTTATATTGATTAGATTGCACACATGAGTAAACACTAAATAAAAGAAAGCTACTTAATCGCCCATCTGACCACCAATATAACAATTCTGTGTGTCTGGTAAATAGCTCAAATAGAGGAAAACACACACACACGTAAGGACTGTAGGTAAGATAAAGGAAAGGGCAAGTTAGCTTCCTCCTCTTTATTTTTCATAATACATTTCTACCTAAGGCTTACCATATGGCTACTCAGGACTTAAAAGGTGGATAATCTGAATGTAAATGTATTCTAAATGTAAAATATACCTCAGATTTCAAAGGCTTAAGGAAAAAAAGGATGTATAATACCTTAATTTTTAAAATTGAATGCATGTTAAAATGATAATATTTTAGGTTAAATAAAATGTTATAATTTTAATTAATGTCAACTTTTCTTTTTACTTTGCTAATGTAGCTACTAGAAAATTTAAAGTTACATATAGAACTTGCATTGTATTTTTATTAGACTACACTGGACTAAAAGCTCAATTAGTTAAATCCCTGCCCTTTTTTCACTTTCATTTCTCCAGGGCTGTTACCCAAACTCCCTGGGCATATAACCAAACTTGAGAAACAAATTTTTAAAAAGCTGCCAAAATAACTGTTCTAAAAAATAAGTAAATAATGTTGAATATAAGAGTGCCTGCTACTAAAATCTGAGGAAGAAAAATACATTAAAATCTCCATCAACAATTGGGAATTAAATGTAAGTAATGTAATTCACTATAATTTGGTAAGACTCTCCACTAATAAGGAAAATATCAGATAAAATAAAACTATTTCTTAAATTTGATACTTTCCAAAAAATATGTATAGTATATCTATTTTTAGGAATCAAATATTAACATAAGAAACCAAAAGAACCATCAGAACATTGGAGAAGGAATAATCACAAAGGACAAAAGCAGTCGAAATTCAAGGCTCATCAAAGTTAGAAATGTCCAACTGAATCACACCTGAGGTTTGGTCAGTTCGATGGCAATATTTTGTACTTCTATGTTCCCATCAAGTTTGGGTGTTTTGAGCTCTGTTTCTGCATAAGGATTCATGTAGAGTTTTGCAGAGGCTGATATTGGCTGGAAAACTGAGAACACATGAGAAGAAGTAAGATAACCTCTATATGCTCTTACATATTAATGACTACAAATTTTAAGAACACTGTTACGCTGAAAGTAAAGAAAAATTATAAAAAATATGTAAAAGAGAGAACTACCAAAAAATATTTAGGTATCTATTTACCTGCATAATATCAACAATCAAACTCAAGGGTTAAAGTGGAATCCCCAAAAAGAAAATTGGGGTCCTATGCTTCTAAATAAGAAATGTACAAAATACAGACAATCTACTCTTGGGAATTCACACTCTGTATAAAATTAGGCTTCTGTTCCTTGCTTCAAGACACTTAATGATTTTATTATTCATTTAAAATACTAATACAAGGTAGAAACAAAAAAAATTTTTAATCCTCACCAGAGAACATGCTTACAGATAGGGAGGGAGGGAGGAAGGGAGAGAAAGATGGAAAGTGGGAGGAAGAGAGAGAGGAAGGAAACTGAGGGAGAGAGGGAGAAATATCAATTGGTTGCTTTCCCTGAGTGCCCTGACAGGGGGTCAAACCAGCAACCCAGTTTTGTGCCCTGACCAGGAATCAAACTGGCAACCTTTCAGTGCACAGGATGGCACTCAACTAACTGAGCTACTCCGACTGGACAGTAGGAAACAAAATTTGATTAATTTCTGTCTTATTTAATCACTGCCAGATTTTTGGAACAGAACCATAAATAAAATTCATGTAACCCAGAAAAAAATTTCTTACTACTTTACAATTTTCAAAACAATCACTGCATATATTCTTAGAATAAACTAAAGAAAATACTTTTAAAAGTGAGAAGTAGTATGAAAAGGTGTATTAGGAAAGATAAGAGAGCAAAGTAAAGTGATAATTATAACTTATAATACTATTAAAATTATATAAATTGTGATACCTTATAAAGTGTTTAGTTTGCATGATAATATAAAATTTCAACTAATTTAGAGTTTATTTGTAAGTGGAAGATGCCTAAGAATAAAGTTGGAGAATTTTCTGAACTAGTTCTATCACAAGTAAAAATGCTTTCACAAACTAGCAGCATGTGAAAACCTTGTCATCAGTAAATACAGAGGCCAATGAACATAAAAGAAAAAGTGCCAACTCTTCTATAACAGCAATCAGTCATAAAAGGATATGAAGAAAACAATAGTGAACAGAGTGATATGGAATACAGAAGAACATGGGCATAAAATTTGAGGATGAGCAGAAAGGAATATAGTAAATGTAAACCAATAAATAGCTTCTGTAGGCTAATAAAACGGAAATGGAGAAAAAAGATGAGATACATAAATAAGCAGGCAGATTTGTTAGAGATCTATTTAAAAGGAAATAAAGGCAAGGCTGCCAAGGAAAACTCATATAAAAAAATCTCTCATGTGGTTGGTTTGTCTTAGCACTGCAATAGTGACATGCTAGGGGTGAGACTGAATACCAAGATCTCAGAGAGATAGTTATGAAGCAAAGCAAAGAAAACCTAATTCCTAAAACAAAGAAGATGGTAGCAAGGTAAGAAGGAAATGTGGACGCCAAAACCGGTTTGGCTCAGTGGATAGAGCGTCAGCCTGCGGACTGAGGGGTCCCGGGTTCGATTCCGGTCAAGGGCATGTACCTTGGTTGCGGGTGCACCCCCAGTGGGGAGTGTGCAGGAGGCAGCTGGTTGATGTTTCTCTCTCATCGATGTTTCTAACTGTCTATCTCTCTCCTTTCCTCTCTGTAAAAACTCAATAAAATATATTTTAGAAAAAACAAAAAAACAAAAAAACAAAAAAAAAAAAAAAAAGAAGGAAATGTGGAGGTCAAGGGTGGTTAGCTGTTAGGAGTGAACAACAGCCACATTGTCCTTGTCTTCCTTATTCTTCAGCAGTGTGTGTGTTATAATCTATTCCTAAACAATTAGTTATAATCCAAACATGCTATATCACAAAATTAAGGTATAAAATTAATACTTTCTCTTTGTCACAGTAATTTTATCAGAAGAAGTATACTAAAATAAAGTTTTTAATTCCAGGCTTCCTATAACATAAAATAAGCTTTTACCATTACTTACTGTATTGATGGCTTGGTAGAATATCATTGCTTGTAAGAATTTCACTTTTCAGATGATCCTTAAAAAAATTGAATTATATGAAAATTAAAAATAAAATATTCAGCTCCAAAATTCAATAGGTCTTCTTTACTCCTCTAAGTAAGTAAACATGACTAAGACTGGCTAACACAGTGAAATTTTAAGTTAATACTTCTGATTTATACTTTCACTGTTTAAGAAATTGTTATCACAAATGCCTAGAAGATTTTTTTATTGATTTTTTTTTTGAGAGAGAAACATCAATATGAGAGTGAAACATCAATTGGCTGCCACCTGCATACCCCCTACCGGGGATCAAGAGCCCGAAACTAGGCATGTGCCCTGACTGGGAATCGAACCAGTAACCTTTCAGGGCACAGGACAATGCCCAACCAACTGAGCCCCATTGGCCAGGGCTAAGAATATATTCTTTAGATCTGAACAGTATCATCCCTTCCTTCCTCCCTTCCTCCCTCCCTTCCTCCCTCCCTTCCTCCCTTCCTCCCTCCCTCCCTCCCTCCCTCCCTCCTTTCTTTCTTTCTTTCTTTCTTTCTTTCTTTTTTTTTTGTAATAGCAATACCACTCTTTTTTTAAATATGTTTGTATTGATTTTAAAGATAGAGAAAGGGAAAAGAAAGATAGAAACACCAACACTGTCTGGCTGCCTCCTGCACACCCCTGCCAGATATCGAACCCACAACTCAGGCATGTGCCCTGAGTGGGAATTAAATTGGTGGATGGGTCGATGCTCAACCACTGAGCCACACCAGCTGGGCAAGGTATCATCTTTCTTGACAATACTCTTCAAGCAATTCTCATGAAACACCACAATGTAACCAAACGCTATAAAAATAGTGTAAAAAATCCTAAGCACAGTTGATTCAAAAGTATGGGTTCTCATCTCACTGCTTAATGAATGATTTCACAAAGATCTTCAAAAACAAAAGTGCTTTTTAAAAGGCAGAGTGGATACCAAAAACTGTGTTTTATACTTCCGATTTAATTATATACAACTTGAACAAAAGACTGATATAGCCTGTCTTCATTAAGGATCTCATATGTAAACAAATATAGTGTAGTTAGCTCTTCCACATAAAAACAGAAATTACCAAGATCTGTTCCCTTGATCCCTGGTAAGACATGCTGCAGTTTACGTTCCAGTAGGCACTAAGGCTATCAAGTCGGACAAGCTATAAAAGAACAATTGAAAGAGGTCAAGCAACTAACACAGTGAAGTTAAGAATCAATATTAAAAGATTAATCTCATGTTCAGTATCCCAAATTATCCAATTGCCATTTTGAGTTTATAAAGGAAAGAAAATAATGCAAAAATGGGGGAAATAATTGCTTTTCAGCTTTTTGGCTAAGATCAAGTGTAAAAATGGGAGGGAGGGGGTTTGTATGTTATTCTCAGACTTTATTATTAATCCAGCATTTGCTAAATTTTGCTTCCAGGAACACTATTTCCAAATAGAATTTATTCATACAATTATCAAATATTTATTGAGAATTTAGTATTTAATAGGCCCTGTACATGTTCTGCTTAAAAAAAAAAAAAAGATATGATTCCTCCAGTCTCCAGTGGATAGGAATGGGTGTTTTGAGGGAGGCGTGAGGGGAGTGGATTCTATAATCAATAAGGTGGGGAAAGCTACTTACTAAATATCACTCTTGAATGTTCACAATGTTTATTAGTATATTTAAAGCATTCTGAAGTTCTGTAGTTTAAAAAAAAATGAAACATGCCTATTTAACTATGTACCAAATGCTTAATACTTTTAGTCAGTAATCTTACTTGACCAGAGAATATTTTTCTACAAATCTAATAATAAGTCAATTACCTAATGCTCCATAAAATACAATCTGGGATATGTTAATTTTATTCATTTTCTTTATATGTTAGGTGAAGAACCTAAACCTCAAAATAGGTAAGTGACTTTAGAAGGCCACACAGTAAGTAGCAGTGCCAAAACTGCTCTATCAAGGTTTCTTTAAGAAAATACATTAAGTGTTTGTACCTAGGAAATTCAAGAAATGTTTAATCCAGTCTAATACCTTGTATATAATTTTATCTGCTTCATTTAACACACATGGAGTCCAGTGTTCATTTGCAGTCTAAAAGAAAAAAAGAACTGTGAAATGAAATATATATATATACACACACACACACATATATATATATATATATACATATATATATATCCCACAATAGTACTCTAACATTTGTAAACTATAACTAAATAACTTAGGAAGAAAACACATAGAGCTAATGTTAGCTACTGTTAGCAATCTGTTTCTTTACATAACTTTATGACAAAATCAAAGGAATAACAGTAAAAAAAGAATTGAAGACGTTCAAATTTAAATAAGTTAATTCACCCACAAAATAATTATTGAGTACTAAGTGTCTGACGTATGGAAGAAGTTGGTTATGAATAAAAGCAGAGAGCTTGCCTATAAGCTATTGAAAAAGGTCCACTTCTGTTTTTAAAAGATCAAATAAATAATTATTACAAAGTAAGAAGAAAACCAGAACATGGAAATCAAAGAATGACCATGTTTCCAGAAAATCAGCATGGTAAGCAATACCAAATGCTGCAATGAAAAAAAACTAAATTAAACTTATTTGGCAGCCAGGGCATTACTGATGAACTTGTTAAGAACAGTTTTAATGGAGTAGCAGAGTCAGAGTACAGTAGGTAGGGAGTCAACAGGAGGTGGGGCAAGAAAGACAGCAAAGGTAGAAAATTCTCTTAGGAAAGAAAGAGAAGGCAGGTAGTTAGATGGGGCATGGGTGGAGTGGAAGAAGGTTAAAAAACAGGCTTTTTAGATAAGTATCACATGATCTCACTCATTTGTGGAATATAATGAACAACTGATGAACAAAAATACATCCAGAGTCGTAGAAGCATCAAACAGACCATCAAACCTCAGAGGGAAGGTGGGGGTGGGGGGTGAGGGGGTGGTGGTGAGGTATCAACCAAAGGACTTGTATGCATGCATATAAACATAACCTATGGACAAGGACATTGGGGGGGAGGGGACGGTTAGGGCCTGTGCTGGAGGGCAGGGGTGGGCTGGCAGAGGTCAATGGGTGGGGGAGGAGACATGTAATACTTTCAACAATAAAGAACTTTAAATAAATAAATCGCTAAATAAAAACAGGCTTTTTAATTTTGCTGTAAAGGAGATACTTGCATGTATTTAAATGCTTACAAAAAGAAGTGGGGTGGAGGGAGGGAGGAAGGAAAGGCAGAGGGAGAGGAGTTGAAGATTTAGGAAAGAGAAAGAAATGGATGGACAGAAGGAAGGAAGGGAAGAAAAGGGGGGTAGAGGGAAGGCTCCTGAGGGCATAGGGAAGTACAGGATCCAGATCAGAGGTGGGAAGATTACCTTATGGAGTTCAATTGTAATTGGAAAGATAGAAGAAAGGAATGATATGGATACAAAAAGAGGTAAGTTTGCAGTTGTTATAATAGGCAATGTAGTACTTGAAGCAGGAAATAAATGAGCCAGCCAATGTGCCAAATGCTTTACACAAACAATCTCACTCAAGCAACACTAAAATATAGATACTACATTTTATCAATACTGTATTTTATTTCCTATTGCATCAGTGAATAAATGAACATTAGACAGCAGGAGACCAACATGGTAACCAGTTACAGGTGCTTTCATCAAAGACTAGTACAATGAGAGGCATGAAATAAGGAATGATAAATTCAAAGAGGAAGGTAAAAAAAGGAATGAGAAAGCAAGGTAATAGCTTACACAAGTATTAAAACCTGAACAGAATTGCTAGGCAGACAAAGGGAAGGGCATAATACAGACAAAGAAAACAGTATAGAGTCTGAGCAAAGATACAGAGGGGCTCAGACAACAGCACACACTAAGACAGTTAGGCATCATTCTCATGCACAAGTATGCCTGTCTGTCGTCAGTCAATGCAGGTATTTGTTTAATATGTTTTCTTTTGTCTGCTAGAAGCTCAATGTTAAATACTGTGCTCAGTTATGACTAATGTTAGTCTAAAATTTCTGGAACAAGTAGCTCTCTACCTTCCACAACATGGGTTCTGGTCTCTTTAGAGATATTATGAGATATTCTTCTTTATCAAAAGCTACTTCAAATTCATTTTGGAAACATGCAGAAGACAAACAGTATATTAAACACTAGCTTCCGGACTCCCTTTCCTGTTTCTCTAGTTCTTTTTCTTCAATGTTTCTGCTTTGGTCTTCAACTCTATGTATCTCTGCTTCTCTGCATGCATGCATCCTTCTTAAGGCCTCCATGTAAACATGTCCTTTTCTCTTTCTCTGGCAGTCTACTTCTCTTTCAATTTTTTTTTTCTCTTCTTTCTGTACTAAGCCCTATCCATATAACTAACCATAAGGCAAACATGTACTCAGTACAATTTACTGTTCACTGTCCTTAACTTTAAAACATTTCCTACCTCTTAGTTGTCCATCAAAGAAAATAAAGTCTAACCTGGATATATATATACACATGCTATCCTTAAAGACCTTTAAGAGAAAAACCAAACTACATTATAAAATATTTAATCAAAATAAATTACTGATACAGATATGGATAGATGTAGATATAGATGTAGATATAGGTTATATATATAGATAGATATAGATATAGATATATACATATAGATAGATATCATTATGGTACATACACATGTACATATAAACACATAAACACATATAAGCTATTTGGAAATTCCATTTACCTAATCAAGAATGAGAACATAACTCTATGGAAATTTATCTTCCCCTACTTTCCAACATGTTTAAGAGACAGCTTATAATTCTTTCAGAATGTTTGATACTGTATTTGGATATTTGTTAAATTCGAAGACATATCAAAATTAGAGAATGTAATAGCATCACTAAAATTTTTGAACTGTTGGAAAAGCTACAGAAAGATTATACATAAAAATAAAATAGCTTTTAGACAACGCTACCTATGGCTCGGGAATAGTATTTTACAGATTCCACAAATATTTAAAATAAGTCCAACATTACCAACAAACTAAGTTCTCCCAGTGTGACACCAAATGAAAGGGGCCGCTTTGGATCAGTAACCTATCAAAGAAAAAAAAGTAACATTAAAATATACTGATGGTGAGGGTGAATCCATGCTCCACTCTTTACGATAGGCAACATAGGGCAATTAGTTTACAAATAAGTTACACAAACCAAATGGATATGTGGAAAAGAAAGAGAAGGGAGCCAAAACATGACTGGGATTATCCATATTTGCAGGCATGACACTCATATCACTTCCCAGTGAATCTCTTTTCCTAGTATATGAAAAGACTCGCTAACTACAATTAGACAGATTCTTGTCTAGATAGTTACAGAGAGAGTCTCTTTATGTATAACATTAAAGATGTTGTTCACAGATAAAGAAAACAAAGCATCAGCGGCAAAAACACTGCCACTAAATTATTTTTGAAACAGTCAAGATTTTCACATTTAGAAATGTGAACTGTCTCTTTAAGCCTTAATTTCCTTGACACTTCAAACATTTTCTTTGTTAGAAAGTGCCCAACATTTAATTTCCCTAGTCTCTTAACCCCAAATCTGCCAATGTCAAACTTTTGTTCTATTTCTGACCTTCAATACCTAAGTTAAATTTACTCACAATAAACTGTACCACTATATGAAAATGTCATTGTTTTAGGCATCTTAAAGATGTCCAAAAGTCACAGTTTTTTGGTTGTAACAAAAACTAGAGGAACTAGAGAGTGAAGAAAAAACATAATGTTCTAAATCATCCAATAGTGACTCCAGAGTTTAGTCATATAAACCCTCCTCAAATAGGAAATATGCATGATCTGGTATAGCTGAAAAACACAGATAGCTTTTTGAGTTTTGTTTTTAATATCGGAGATATTGTGATTGTGGCAATACATTTTCCTTTATTCCCACATCTTTTTATACTTACAGATAACTAGCTCAAAATAACTTGGAGCTAATCAGAAGAACTTCAATAAACCACAACTCCTCAGTTGCTAATGTAATACTCACAAACTACTATCATCCAATGAGCATTTTTGCGATAAATTATCCATTCCCTACCCCACTTCCTATACTATCTTTTTCATTATCCTTCTAGATACAATAATTAAGGTTACCACATGAAAGACAGATGCTACAATAAAGATTCCTTTGCATTTTTAAATTTCTTTCCTTTTAGATTCTTTTAGTATATTTTGTCACTTACATCAATTTAAACATAAACAATGTTATTTATCCCGCTCCTGTGCATCTCTGTATTCTTTTCATTAAGGAGAAATACTGTACTTTTCTAATTGCACTTGCTCAATAAAAAAGCTTAATTTAAGTTCCAACTGAGGTTCTCATTCATCAATATGCCATTAGTTTTAAGAATAATTCTCACTTCCATGATACGTTGATTGAATTTTAATTTCCTTAGTTTGTTTTAAACAAGGGCACTGATAAGTGGTTAGGTTTTTTAAACATTTATTTGGTAACAAAATTCAGTTTAATTACTACATAAAAGTAAAAGACAAAGTCAGTATAAGTTAGAGATGGTATATATTAAAACATTAAAAAACTTAAAAAATTTAGAAAGAAAACTACAAGTGTTTCTTACATTAAGTTACATAAGAAAACATATTAGAAAGGGAAATAAATATAAATATATATCAATATTGCTTTAATTCAATCCAAACTTAAAGCAAATTAAAACAAAAAGAAGGATGCAAACTCAATTTTAGAAGAGACAGAGTAACATTTCCAATTTCTTAGGCAAATGAAAAAAATTCAAGGTTTCTTACATATGTTTCAAACTTTAAAACAAAGCAATATTTGTTACATTTATAACTAAAATTAATAAAATCAATTAATCAGTTAATAAAATCAATAAAACAGTTCTTAATCAAATAATTTTAAATTTTTGGTTATAAATGAAGTCTAGTTTTTAAATATATTGTTGCACATGCACATGATAGTTGTGGGTGCTCCATCCAGCTTGATGGGACATGAAGAGAATGAGACTAGCAGTCAAGTGACCTGGGTTTTAGTGCCCTCTCTACCAACTACCATTATAATTGCTATCTCATCATCTCTTGGACTAATTTTTTGTCAGTATAAAAAGAAAATTAGTTCCTGAAAGTTATAGTAGTATAAGTCTTAAGGCATTAAACAAAATTCAAAATATAGAAGACAATCTGAAAATCTCTTATACTAGCTTTAGAAAGGGGCATATTGTGGTTTTATGATATACTAGAGGCCCAGTGCATGAAATATGTGCCTGGGGGGGACAGGGGTCCCCCAGCCTGGCCTGCACCCTCTCACAATCCAGGAGCCCTCAGGGGATATCCAACTGCCAGTTTAGGCCCAATCCTACTGCGGGATCGAGCCTAAACCGGCAGTTGGACATCCCTCTAGCAATCCAGACCACTGGCTCCTAACCACTCACCTGCCTGCCTGCCTGATCATCCCTAACCACTCTGCCTGCCTGCCTCATCACCCCTAACCACTCATCTGCCTGCCTGATCGCCCGTAACCCCTCTGCCTGCCTGATCACCCCTAACCACTCGCCTGCCTGCCTGATCGCCCCTAACTGCTCCCCTGCCTGCCTGATAGCCCCAACCACTCTGCCTGCCTGCCAATGCCCCTAACCACCTCTTCCTGCCTGCGTGATCAACCCTAACCACTCTGCCTGCCTGCCTGATCGCCCCTAACTGCTCGTCTGCCTGCCTGATTGCCCCTGATCACCTCTGCCTCAGCTCCTGCTGCTGCAGCTTCATCCGGAAGGACATCTGGAATAATATCTGGAAGGTCATTTGGCTGTCTGGTCTAATTAGCATATGACACTTTTATTATTATAGATTTACACTCATAAACAAAAAAGCCCAACACAGAAAAGAAGAAATGACAGTGTACTCATTAGAAAAAAAAAAAACAATCTTGGATTTAAAACTGGGTACAGCCGAAACCAGTTTGGCTCAGTGGATAGAGCGTAGGCCTGTGGACTGAAAGATCCCAGGTTCGATTCCGGTCAAGGGCATGTACCTGGGTTGCAGGCACATCCCCAGTAGGAGATGTGCAGGAGGCAGCTGATCGATGTTTCTCTCTCGTCGATGTTTCTAACTCTCTATCTCTCTCCCTTCCTCTCTGTAAAAAATCAATAAAATATATTTTTAAAAAAAACTGGGTACAGATAATCCACATATACACATATCAATCCTATAAAATAAAAGCCTAATATGCTAAGTATCCAGCTGTCCAGTCATCCATTCAACCAATCGAAACGTAAGATGCTAAAGATATGCTAAGTCTGCTCAACCGCTAGCTACGACATGCACTGACCACCGGGGGAAGATAGTCAACCAGTAGACCAGTCACTATGACATGCATTGACCACCAGGGAGCATATGCTCAACACAGGAGCTACCCCCTGGTTGTCAGTGCACTCCCACAAGGGGAGCACCACTCAGCCAGAAGCTGGGCTCACGGCTGGCGAGCACAACGGCAGTGGTGGGAGCCTCTCCCACCTCTGCAGCAGCACTAAAGATGTCTGACTGCCGGCATAGGCCCCCACCCTGAGTGCATGAATTTTGTGCACCAGGCCTCTAGTTTTCTAATATTAACAGTATTATTTAACTATGTGTCCCTATGTGGGAAAGGGAATCAAATCAGTTCAAGTGTATGAAGGTCATTGTCAACTGTTCCCTTTAAAAATT